GAGACCAGAGAGAGAGACCCAAGAGAGACTGGAGGGAGACCAGAGAGATAGCGACCAAAGAGGGAACAGAGAGAGAAAGAAAGAGACTAAAGAGAGACCAGTGAGAGATACTAGAAAAAAATGACCAGAGAAAAATCAGAGAGAGAGAGAGAAAGACGAAAAGAGACCGGAGAGCGAAACCAGACAGAGAGAGACTAGAAGGAGACCAGCGAGATGATCACCCTCACTCAGCCAATCAGCTTTCAGCACAAAAAAACAAGTCGTGACTCTCTCTCACAACTCGGCAAAAGAAGATGGGACCACTGCTTCATCATCAAATATTTGTATTTATTTGCAGATAAATATATAAAGCAAAACACAGATTGCAACAAGCGCTTAAACGATTTGTAAATAACGTGTACATTTACAGCTTGCTGAGTTCTGTGTGTGCGGAGTGGTGCAGAGTGAACGGCCGCCTCTGTATGATGCCCCCGATGCTGCAACACATCTGCACATTACATAAGTAATGCTATGTGCCGTCAATGACAACACTACACAGAACAACAAACACTACAGCGTGATAGAACGCTATATTCAGTGGGTGCGTTCGTAAATGTATTCTGCCGCTCTGAAAATGAAGAGCCCGAGCCCGGCCCGTGTCCGAGGTCATTATGCGGTCATCGGCCCGAAGCCCGGCCCTCGGGCTGTCGGGCCGTCGGGGCCCTCGGGCCAAGGGCTCAAGTGCAGGGCTCTACAGCCACTACTCACTCTCTCTCACACACACACACACACAATCAATGCCAGATGAATTTTCATGATATTAACCATTCACATTCTCTAAAATACATTTGTCAGGGAATAAATACATCACTTTTGAGCTTGGAGTAGAATCGCTGCTCCTATGCGTGAAGACGAGCCAAATCACACACAACAGCATCATTAGGCTCCTCCATAAAAAAACCAGGAGCCCAGATCAAACCCTTGTTCACGCTACAGAAGCTCAGACAATCCCTTTTGGCTCGGCTGTGGCAGACTCAAACTGGATCACATAATTGTTATATAAACTCTTTGATGAAATCCGATCTGTGGCTGAAGCTTAGAAGCAGATTAACCCAAACAATAGCTCGGACCAGTCCAGGTTTACAGATCATTTTGTTTTTCCAGCCTTTGTCACCCAAATTCTGTTATGAATCAGCCAAGCGAAATGTCTTTGTGGCTCTTAAAATCACAGGTCAGCGGTCCAGTCTAGACAGAAAAGTGAAATCAGGTTTAATATCAAATCCAACATCAAAACTCCCCAAGTGTAATCATTTACTGGGCCATTAGCGGCAGAACAGTTCAATATTAATACCTCACCCGATGTGCACTGTGCAGGTCTACCTAAGGCATGTTTATTTATATTGCACAGTTTATACACAAGGCAACTCAGAGTGCTATACTGAACAAGACAAGAAACAATTAAATCCTAAATAATCACACTGCATTAAACAGAGTCAAGATACTATTCTTCAGTTGTTGCTGCAAAGCAAAAAATTGTTTAACCTGTATTTAAACATTGTCAGAGTAGAAGCCTGTATTATATTTTCAAGAAAACTGTTGGATGGATCTATAATAATATTTGGATAGGGTATTACTAGCTCATAGCTGTCCCACCCAGGGGGACAGGGGGCGCCCATGGTACTGCAGACTAAATTCAGAAAAAATTCTCCCAGAACTCAATGAAAACTAAAACAGCTCGAACTCAGCTGACAGAGAACCTACAGCTTTCATAAAGATCGGATTTTGTGGGGATTTTAGTGTCCCTTTTTTCATCTTAAATCATTCAGTTTTCTCTAAATCCATACTTTAATGTAACAAACTCTTCTTGTTTTCTTGAGCGGCCTCCATGCATGTCCCATGCACTACTGAGCACAAGCCGTTGATTTGAATAGGGCGCCATCTTGAATCCCCAGGGCTTGCCCACATCAGCTTCAACTCCTGTTTTGGCTGTTTTTCTGCTGTATTTTCAGTCTGCTTGCTAGACCGTTAACGTCCTCTTAACCACTTTGCGGCTCTCTGATTGGTCACTGCACGTGCGTCCTGCGGAAAAAAATCAGCAATGTTTATCTCCTGCGTGCGTCCCGAGACGCACATGTAGTTCCACACTCGAACGCACGTCACCATTGACTTTGCATTCACCGCAACGCTCTGGTGATCTGGTCTGAACGACCCATAAACGGGGCCTCATAAGCCATTCATTCGTGGGGGGAAAACTCCAGCTTGCCATATCAACCATCTTAGCAACACGTCTGTCCCTGCTATGGCAGCTTCAGCCGCCTTGGGAGATTTTCCCGAAGACCTCAGTGTTCACTAAAACGGCTCGTCCTCAGTTGGCAGGGAACCTACAGCTTTTACAAAGGAGGATTTAGTCTCTCTTGGCCCTGGTTCTATCCACACCGAGCATTATAACTGGGCCAAAGCGCTGCTGGAAGCCATACTGTAGTTACCAATGAATTTGTTATGGGTAGATTGCTAAGATACGATACAAGATACCACAGCGTAATGGTAACACAACTAGGTAGAGTAGAGTAGAGTATGAATGATGAAAAACAAATTGCTGGTTGTGATCTAAAAGGTATGGGGTTGCATTACACACTTTTAATTTCAGAAAATCAAAGGTCACATTTTGCAGTCTTCCATTAATAATTACAAAAAGTGGAAATGGCCCCAAACACTTCCAGTGTTCTTGGCCAGCAGCAGGGGTCAGCACTAGGGATCAGCAGCAGGGATGTTCATGTTAATGTAGAATTTAGTAAAGGTCAAAATTAACCACGTCTCTCTTCACCAGGGGAGAGGATGAGTGGATGAGTCAGAGTCACGTTTGTGGATCAATAGAAGCCTGTTTGAGAGAATGCTGTGGTTACTGCGGGAAAAGGCGACGTGTTTGTTTGGCTCGCGTCGTTGTGTGTCCGCTTGTCCAGAAGACGTCGCTCGTTTGGACAGCAGCAATGACTTCATAATATTTCCTACGTTCTAGTAGAGACTGGAATGGAAACAGCTCTGCGCGAGTTTGATGGACGGAGGGAAGCGTTCTTGTCCGCTTTGGCAGGTTTTACATGGAGGAAAAATAAAAATCACCCAAGGCCTTAATAACCATAGTGCTTTAAAACGAGTGGCTATAGAATCCAGCAGGAGGCCAGTCCCTGTGCTGCTCAGAGTGTCAGCATGAGGACAATCCATGTGCTCCTCAGAGTCCCAGCAGGAGGTACTTTTTCAAAGAACATCCGTTACATAGTTTGTGCCTTATAAACCAACGCTGACTCTGTGGAGCAATTTTTTCAGTTTGCCGTGTGTATACAAAAACAACTTGCATTCAGGCACCCTCAAAGACGTTTCTCATTACTTTATTCATTCACTATATAGTGGTGATAAACTACTACTACAGCCACAGCTGCCCCGGGGCACACTAACAGAAGAGAGGCAATTAGTATGTGCCATCAGCCCCTCCCCCCACCAACCATTCACATACACCAGACTTATTCTAGACAATGTGGGTGTCTTACCTGAGGACACAACCACAGTTTCGCATTTTACAGCCATTTTGGTAACTGGTGTTCCCACAAGTCTCCCATCACAGTACTAAACAGGATCTGCCCTGCTTAGCTTTAGAGGTCTGACTTGATCACCTGCAGGTATATGTCATAGAGCTCACGTGTAGTCATTATGTCCTGAACATAAGCCCTACAAAGTCGTGTTTCCTAGTGGTGAAACTGCAGCCTGTGAAAAGGTGCATTGTGGGTCTCTTTATGGAGGACAGTAAAAGTGAAGGAGGAAAAACAAAACAGAAGAAAACATGACACACTGAAAAAAAAAACATTCTTTTACTTTTATTCATTTGACCGCTGACCAAAGTGAGTTTGACCCCTGGCCTAATAAGACTATCCGACCTGCTTTTAGTTGGTAGTTTATCCCAGAGGAGACATTATAATTAGATCCATATACTTAACGCAAAAGAAAAATAAAGAATAAAAATACAGTCAGAAAAAATTAAACATTTCACACTGTATCCACAGTTCTGATGGTCGGAGGCAAACAGGAGAAGAATGCTAATGACTTCAGTCCAGTGCACAGGGGGAATACAGACGATTTAAAGATGTTGTAAATATGTTTTGGAGAGACTTTCAAGCACCCCCCACAGCCCCCACCCAGAAATAGAATAATAAAGGGAATGAAAATAGCTTGATTTACTGATTTGAACTAATCAAATCAGTAAAAAAAAAAAAACATTATTATTATATGGATCATATTCACAAGTAATTATGTTAACGAATAACAATAATAACACAATAACACAAAATATTCAACACATATGCTCGCGTTCTCAACTCGTGGGTTATTTCAATGTGGGCCCCTCCTATGGTGTAAATGCTTCTTATCGTAACTTTGTGTTTGATGTACACGGACTAAAAAGTAAAAATAGACACATAAAGGGTGGGTGTGCGTATCCATAATAAACATTATTCAGCTTCTTGCGCCACTGTAACAGACTCACACTGCCCCCCAGTGAGTTAAAAATGTCACTCCACACCCGTACACTGCAGCACACATTACCCCAGCAGGTGGCACTGTTGTCTAAAAAGTATACACTAACACACGGCCTGGTTCTATTCATGGCGAGCAAGTTATTAAGTGTTAACAGTGATTGGTCAGAGTGCTGCTGAAAGCCATGGTTACTAAGAAACTTACTCAGATACTTGTTTGTCGTGGGTAGGTTGCTAGGATACGGTACCAGATACCAACGTGTAATGGAAAACAGGGCTGGTGGAAACGGGGCTTATGCACCCATTCGCGGACGAGTTGGATCTGGCAACACAACTGCCTACATCACTTCCGCATACGGAGCCAACGTGGACAAGTAAACAAACACAAAATGACCGATAACGTCAACAATCCACGGGTATTTTCACCCGTATGATCGTCGGCGCTTAAGTCCACGCCACGGTTGAAGGTGTAAGCTCACCTCTGCCTAGAATCACGGGTTCATGGAGCAGAGACTTGCGGAGTTCAGAGCCCGAAGACGAGCCGCTCAAACGGCCCAGACAGGAGCACAGGTCCCGGAGCAGGTGCCAGAGGACACCGGGGATAGTCCCACGGAGGCCCCGACACTTGCACCACCATGCCCCCCAGCGGAGAGCCACACTGAGCAGGTACTAGACTAAACATGTTGTGTGCCCTAACAGTTATGGAGTGAAATGTTGTGAACAAATTAGACCACAACACGATATCTGAGAGAGAGATACCTGAGATAGATCAGAGAGAGAGAAAGACCTGAGAGAGAGACCAGAGAGAGAGAGAGACACCTGAGATAGATCAGAGAGAGAGAAAGACCTGAGAGAGAGACCAGAGAGAGAGAGAGACACCTGAGATAGATCAGAGAGAGAGAAAGACCTGAGAGAGAGACCAGAGAGAGAGAGAGACACCTGAGATAGATCAGAGAGAGAGAAAGACCTGAGAGAGAGACCAGAGAGAGAGAGAGACACCTGAGATAGATCAGAGAGAGAGAGAGACCAGAGAGAGACACCTGAGAGAGAGACACCTGAGATAGATCAGAGAGAGAGAGAGAGACCAGAGAGAGACCTGAGAGAGAGACACCTGAGATAGATCAGAGAGAGAGAGAGACCAGAGAGAGACCTGAGAGAGAGACACCTGAGATAGATCAGAGAGAGAGAGAGAGACCAGAGAGAGAGAGAGACCTGAGAGAGAGACCAGAGAGAAAGAGAGACCAGAGAGAGAGAGAGAGACCAGAGAGAGAGAGAGAGACCTGAGAGAGAGAGAGAGAGAGAGAGAGACCAGAGAGAGAGAGAGAGACCAGTGAGGGAGAGCAGAGAGAAAGACCGGAGAGAGAGAGAGACACTTGAGATAGATCGGAGAGAGAGAGAGACCTGAGAAAGAGACACCTGAGATAGATCAGAGAGAGAAAGAGAGACCTGAGAGAGAGACCTGAGAGAGAGACCAGTGAGGGAGAGCAGAGAGGGAGACCTGAGAGAAAGACCGGAGAGAGAGAGAGAGAGACACTTGAGATAGATCGGAGAGAGAGAGACCTGAGAAAGAGACACCTGAGACAGATCAGAGAGAGAAAGAGAGACCTGAGAGAGAGACCAGAGAGAGAGAGACACTTGAGATAGATCGGAGAGACCTTAGATAAATGAAGGGGGAGGGAGAGAACTGAGATGAATTAGAGATAGACACCAGCCACAGCGGGGGACAAGAAAAAGAGATGATAGAAAACAGAGAGACCAGAGAGGCCACAGTAGATATCTGCTGAACTTTTTTGACCGTTTTTGTTTCATCAGGATTGACCCTGGAATAAGAGAAAAATTGATGATAATTTTTGAAAGTTATCACTGGTCACAAATAATTTAAACTGCCCCCTACCACTGTTTTAAACTTCAATGACCATAAGCACATGTTTTTGTGTTACTGCAGGGCAGAGGAGACTGGCTGCTGGAGACTGCAAGGGGGCGGTGGCTGTGCTCGCGGCTCGCCTTCTCCAACATCACACTGCTCAAAGTCCTGCTCTGGTTGGTCCTAATGGGGCTGTTTGTAGAGCTGGAGTTTGGCTTGGTCTTCTTCGTGCTCTCCATGTTTTACTGGATGTATGAAGGACTGCGGAGCCCAGAGGCGCGGCAACCTGGAGAACTCAGCGCCTATTCTGTCTTTAACCCTGACTGTCAGCCGCTGTTGGGGTCTCTGACTGCCGAGCAGCTGGAGGGGGAGATGGGCTACAGACCCCTGCAGGCCAATAGATGAAGCACTGAACTAGTGTGAAACCTAAACCTATGCCTGTAATTCAATGCAATTCAATGTTTGTGTATCGCCCTAAATCATAGCATCAGTCGTCTTAGCTGGACTTTACAAAGTTGTGGATTCGAGAGTCAAACACAGTCATACACAGGAAATGGAATAATAACATATAGAAGCCATTGGCGGGATGACAACTGTCTAGAAATGTAAATTAATGTGCAGAAATATCCTGGATAATCGCTGTCCACTGGCATCGGCAAAGAACCATTGGGAAAATGTGAGAAACCTCAGGGAGGCCCTTATTGAGTGAGGAATCCACTTCCACGGACGGACAAGCTGTAGATCCAGGATCAGGTGTAGCCTTCGAGTCCGGTCCGGGAGAGACGGTTCACAGATGTAAGAAGAAAAGGCGGGGTCTCATGAGACAATGGGACAGCGTGTGATGACAGATAAAGTAGATAGTGCTGTTACCGGACTTCTCCAGCAGGGGTCTTCATTTTTAGCCTAACATGACTATCAGTGTTTTTGACCTAAGGTTGTATTTCTAAGTCTTACTGACCTCACACGTGCCTCCACTGCTGTATATTGGGTCACATGTGGTGGTGGGCTTGGCGTGTAGGTCATTTATGAACAGTCCTTCATAAATAAAATGTGATTTGAAAGTAACTGATTTTGAAATGTAAATGGTCAAGACAAGATACAATTGTATACAAATGTACAAATTACATATGCAAGTAAGTACCGTACTTTAGTTACTTCTGTATACAACACTATCCATTATGATTGTTTTATGTTTTATGATTGTTATATTGTTTTATGGCTTTATAATATTCCACTTTATGGGAAAGACTTATCTCGAGAGTCTAATGATATGTCTATTTACAAAGGTCAGACCCACAGTCTTCTGGGGTCTGACCTTTTTTTAAATCATTTTGATTTAATCCATGAGCAAAAAAAAAATCAGAGCTGCTCATAGCACCAGTCCCTCACTGATCCTCCTGCTGGTGGTGAGTCCACAGGAAGATGGCTGCTCCATAAGCTATGACACAGCCTTGATCTTTCAGCGGGGGCTTTGGACAATGTGGGGTTGAGTGTCTTGTCCAGGGACACAAAGACAGCAGACATCGGTAGCAGACATCGGTGGCAGCCGGTCTCGTGGTGAGGTCGAACCCACGACCTTCAGGCCCAAAGACCAATTCTCTAACCAAATACTTTTATTTCCATGAAGAAGACGAGATGACTCTTCCTAAACTAGGTCCAGTGGAAACACTCCGGCGGCACGGTGGCTGAGTGGATAGCACTCTCGCCTCTCAGCAAGAAGGTCCTGGGTTCGAATCCCGGTCGGACCAGGGTCTTTCTGAGTGGAGTTTGCATGTTCTCCCCGTGGTCTGCGTAGGTTTCCTCCGGGTACCCCGGTTTCCCCTACCACTAAAAATATGTCCAATAGTTCTGGCATGCGCCTCCTGTTCAGCGACCCCGCTCCCATCTCTGTGTGGAGTGAGAGACAAATGCCCAAAATTAACAATTGTAAACCGCTTTGAGACTCAGATCTGCAGTGAAAAGGCGGTATATAAATAAAGATTACTTACTTACTTACTTACTCCCAATCCGGGTTGTGTAGAGCAGAGTAGGGCTGGTGTAAATTGGGATTACTATAGTTTATTGCTCAAAATAAGGTGAAGAGATTGTTTGATTTTCCATTCATTTGAATGTACAGTTCAAATGTAGCCATTTTGGTTTCTTGGCCTGGTACAGACCTTATTCTGAACTGGTTCTTGACTGGACCTTGATTTTCCACCACAGAAGAGCATGTGCTAGTGACTATATTACACTGTTGTTGTTATTTCAAGTAATTTGCACTGGTTTTAGTACTTTTTAAAAGTATATATATATATATAAACTTACTTAAAAAAATTTAGAAAAATAGGAAAATATGTCAGAATTCCCTTAATATGAATAAGAGTTCTATTTAAAAAAACAAAACAAAAAAATAAATAAAAGTTACACAAATAAAGGTTTTCAAATGATTAGGAAATGATTTAATGACCGAGTGGAAAATGGCAAAGAAGAGCAGGTGAAGGGTCCCTGCAGGGGCCAACACATCAGAGGAGCGAGAGCAGAAAAGCCAGCGTGGAGGGCCACCAGAGACCCTTCTGTGGGAGAGGTCAGCTCTCATGATGGCTCTCATGATGACCCTCACTATACCTTTCTTTCTCAATTAATGCTGTGACATGATTTATGACCGCCACAGAGATAACGCAGTCTCAGAGACAGTCATTGGTGATAAGGTTTATTTTATATGCCACGTGGGAGTTTTGTGCGTTCAGTGTTTCCTCAGTCCTGGTGAGAGAAGCAGCAGCAGTAACAGCAGCAGTAGAACTATGGCCCAGGTCCCACTACTACACGCAATGCTCCTCATCACTCTGCTTGGTAAGACATATATTTATTAATGAAGGATGACCTACTTTCGCCTGTTCCTTCTCGAATTATGATACCCAAATGGAAATGCTTATTGTGTGGACATCTTGTGTCTGATGTTGTGTTATGATGCCTCATTTGAAAGGTAACACACGCAAGGGAATTTTAATACTGATGCAGTTAAATTAAAAATATTTGAATCCGTCTGAATATCTAAATGAAAATAATAAATGAACCCTCCCTATATAGGGAGGGTGAACCTTAAAGAGTTAAAGACGTAAGCCCTGTTTACACCAGCACTACTTGCTTGAGTAGTTGTACTCAACTCTACTTGATTTGGTTCTAATCCACCTGGTTGTGTATCAATTATGCTTTAGTATCACTGGACAATCACAGCTCAGCCTGGAGAGAACCAGGGCCAAGAGGGACTAAAGAAAGACCAAGTACATGTTCACTTTTTGTGGACCTTTCCAATAATCCCATATGGAATTAGGATTTTATCCCAGACGTTCCTGAGAAAGATTACGTCTGCTCTGACTTTACAGTGAGGCAACTGCTGCATCACTGACACTGAGTGGACTTTCTGCTCCTTTCAACGTGCCATAAAGTCATTTTGACGTTCGGTTTTAGTTTTTTACTAGTTTTATTGTAATAATAAAATAATAAGTGCTAAAACTGGTGAATATAACTGAAATACAGTTTACACAGTTTGTCGAACAAACTGGCTATATATAGGTCTGGCAACTGGAACCCGAGGTAAAATTGCTAAAGCTCCGGCATGTTGGTTCCAGTACTATCGTGGGTCATTTCAGCGTGCTAGTAAACTGCTGGTTTTTCTTATGGATAAAGTCATAGACCAGCTGCAGTTAAGAATCATTTGCGCAGAATGAAGCCAAACTGCCAAATGTGTTTAGTTTGCACAGAAACACATGTGAACAGAATATTGCTATTATAAATATGTTCATGATGAGTTTGAAATAAATTATAGTATACATTCATTCACCATTCATTCATTTTCTACCCCTTTATTCGTCCATTTCTGAGACGAAAGGCTGATGCTAATTGCTACAAGTAAACAATGTGTTGCTAAGGTAATTAGCACTTGTTCTGCTCCGGTGGTAAACGAACTCTTTGTAGAAAAGGGCTTTCACTGCCATAGAATGTTTGCTACTAAACAACTGAAAATAGCTCTGTTTAAATTCACATAAATGGAGCGGTCAAAATGGCTGCTCTGGGATTTAAAGGTAGAACTACAAAAGTCAAAGTTGTGAAGATCAAACATGTACATGAACAGACATTAAGCAATTAAAACTAAAACTCACAACTCTGACAATACACCACGTATTACTATAATATTTCAAAGAATTGTAGTCCTGTCACTCAAATAAAAAAAATCTCATGTTGCCGCCACCTTTCTAAATCATTTACAAATAAAAAGAAAATATACCGTCACATTGACTGCTCTGGGGGTTCCGGTGTTAAGCCCTGCCTCACGTCCTCCTCTCTTCCTTTAGGTTTGAGCAGTGGAATATATAACCCTGATATCTGGCTGGTTCCTGGGGAAACGGCAGTGTTTCAGCCCAGCACCACATTGTTCAGCTCCATCTCCTGGACCTTTTCCAACGTCACCATCGTCGACAAAAACTTCACTGACCCTGAGTACACTGACCGCATCACTCTTTTCTCCAATGGAACCCTCCAGCTCCGCATCGTCACACATGAAGACCAAGGACCATACACCGCCACCATCACATCAGCAGCAGGCCACACCCACAGCAGCACCTCCCACCTCAGTGTATATGGTGAGAGCAGTAGAAGTAATAGTAGTACTAGTAGCGGTAGTAGTAGGAATAGTCACAGTAGCAGCAGTAGTACTAGTAGTAGCAGGACCAATAGTTATAATTATAGTAGCAGTAGCGGTGGCAGTAGTAATAGTAGTAGAAGCAGTAGCAGTTATGTAGTGTTAGCAGCATCAGTGAGTAACTCAATGCTAGATTTCCACCTAGTTGTAAGTATGAGGAAAAACATCATGTGAAACTGTGACTTCTGTTGAGATGTCACATAACTCTGCTTCTCCTCTCCCCCAGAGCAAGTCCACAGTGTGGTTTTGGTGACACTAACCCCACCTGGACCCTTAATTGAGTTCAGAAGCTTTGCAAACATCACCTGTGCTGCAGGTGGTGGCACCGGCCTGGTGTACACCTGGTACAACGACAGCGCCGTAATGTCCACCACAGCCCAAGACCTGTCCATCGCCCGCCTCACCCGCTACGACAGTGGCCCGTTCCAGTGTCGGGTGACCAACCCCATCAACTCGGTCTTAAGCCCGTCCCGCTACCTCAGCATCAGCTGTAAGTCTCAGCATAAACAGTTCTGTGGACAACTAACGTAACGTATCTTTTGCTGTCTTTTTATTAATATTTAAAATTGAATTTAAGGTGTTTATGTATCGCCCTAAATCACAACAGCTGTCATCTTGGAGGACCAACATCAGATTAGAGAACACCAACTGTCTCTTTCTTTTTTGATGGATTAACTGTAGTTCACCCAGGCTTTAAGTGTGTTCTTGTTTCGCCATTTTCTTATCTGGTTTATGATGTCATGCAAGAGGATAAGGTTCATTAAAGGAGCTATACCCGTTTCTGCAAGGTTTGAATGTTTAGCACCGCCCCCAACTCGCTCACGGGTCTCTCATTTCCAGTGAGTGCGGTGAGGTTGGTGATTGGTGATGCACTGACTTCAGCCCAATCAGATGAACATATATATCATATAAATCAACACGACCTACAGAGCGGCTTATTCGCAATTTCTTTGGCTACAGCAGAATATGTTCCATGTCCGCATTGTTTGCTCATACAAAACGCAAAAGTTGGTAAAAAGCACATTTAAAAGTGTATTATGGTCTTACCTTATAAATGACCAGTTTCATGTTTAAGTCCAGTTTGTTTAAGTCCAGATAATAGTTTGAGCGTAGATATGTAATCCTCCATTTGGAACTGAGTCCAATGAGTTTTAAAAAGTCAAACAAAACGAGTGTCTCCTCCATAAACTCCTCTTGTGTTTTCGCTAGCTGCCGGTAGCGGACTCTCGGGTGCATACAATTTCTGAAATCAACCTTACCCATCACCTCTCTTTCTTATCATTCCTATCGTCATTGGAAGCATAACCATACCCTAAGTGGATTTTAAATCATCTTAAAATGTGTTATATGTTTGTTAGCCAAACCTGTAGCTGCCCTTAGCAGAGGAGGAACTTATAACTAATTTGCGATCTGAGTAGCATTAGCACAACGTCTTGTAAGCTGTACAACAATCACTGATGAAATGGTACAAAAGAAACACGCTGCTAACACAATATATAAGTAAAAGATCTACCGCTAGTTTGGTGTCTAAATGTAAACATTAGAATATATTAGAATATTTCATTATAATTTATTATACAGCTCCCCACAGCAGCAGAAGAACACTCCATTGACTTGAATGTAATTTCATAACGTTCTACCTATCAATTCTTGATAACAGAACTCTCAAACCAATAATGACCGCTGCCCTTTGACAACGCAATCTCTGTTTGTAATTCAGGTGTCTAAAATACTAACATTACTCCACAAGTACATCGAGCTTTCAGCGACTGTCACAACTTCTGTCTGTACTGAGAAGCTAGCCGAGCTAGCCACACTCAATAAACAAATACCAAACAATCAATCAACACCTTTAAATGTTAATCGGGAATACATTATACATCTACATTTTTTGCCTGCAAGATGAATTCTCGCTGTATTTGTGAGTTCACAAACACATGAGAATACATCTTGTGCCGCTCCCACTTACACTTTTCAGGTAGAACATCTAGGTGTTCTACCTGAACATCTAGGTGATCATGGGCCAGTCTTGAAATTTAGGGCGGGATATCCGGGTTTGACAAAAGCAACCAGCGCCAAGCCGGACGGATGCATAGCTGAGACGATCCAGTCAGTTTTAGTTGAATCTCCAATTTATTTGTGTAAAGATGAACAGCGAGAAGCACTTGTGCACTTCTGGACAGCAAAGCTGATGACCACATATTCATTTGTAACCGTGATTGCCTTAAGTCAAACCGTGGTAGGCGGGCAAACAGCGTCACTTGCTGCCTCCTTTACCGAAAGATTCTCCTGCAGAAGTCCCAGATGGATATTGTGGATAACTCATTTGAGTCCTACACAATCATCAATCTGGCTTTTGACAGGTTAAAGGTTCATCTGTGAACTCCAGGTCATCAATAAAATCCATCAATGTCCACTGTGTCCATCTTTTGTGGTCTCCTTCATTACCCAGAGGCACTTGTCTCACTTGTTTATGAAGTGCTTATTATGAAGTTTTGCTCCAACTCCCTCTGGCACCTATTGACTTACTTGTCATAGTAAAGTCTTAGCTCAGCTCACGTTTGTGTCGCACTCACCATTTTGGGCTTAAGAAATCTGTGGTTCTCTGTGAATCCAGACATTACCATCAATAATACCTCATCAACGTTTAATTTATTACAAACACATCTTTTGAAATCTGTGTTTATATTGACTTTATTAGTATGAATGCGTCTCTAAACTATCGTCATCTTGTGTTTGAATTTCTTTCCTCATCTCTCTTTGATGTTTCCAGACGGTCCGGATATAACAAACCTCACAACTGATCCCATACCCACTAATGGAGTCTTCTACGAGGGGTCTGCAGTCACCATATACTGTAATGTGATCTCCAGCCCCACAGCCGTCATCACCTGGTTTCATAATGGGGAGCCCGTGGAATTTTCGTCGGACGAAGAGCTCTTTTTCGAGTACTTGGATACCAATGACAGTGGGGACTACATGTGTCAGGCCTACAACCCAATAACCCTGGTTTACGCAGTGTCCCAGCCGTTTGTCATCTCTGTCATAAAAGGTAAGTACAGATTATTCAGGTTAAATATTATATCATCTATTATATATTCACTTCTGCTTCCCTGTCTGCTCAGAAATTTTAATTCAATTTATTTGTGTATCGCCCTAAATCACAACAGCAGTTGTCTCAGAGGACTTTACAAAATTGTCGATTCGCCAATAGCAGATCAGAAAATAGATCAGTTCAAAGACATGAAATAGGAAATCCACATTCTTGAAATTAAAATGATCTCATCACTGCTCCCAGACTCTCCTGCATAAGCAAAACCACTCAAAAACCCAGAGGGAAAAACTGAGACAGTTGATCCAGGACTGAGGTACAAATCAAATAGATGCTATAATTAAAGTAGAAAAAACATCTACAATTAATACATAAAGTGCGTTACCGTGACTTCACAAATGAACTTTTGCTAAAACGCATGTGAAGGTGGAAATACTAGCAGTCATATTTTGTGTTTTAAAGCAAAGATCATCTACAGGTGTTTGATCTTTCTGTTTGAAAGACAGAACTAAAATTAAAAACAGACGTGCATTTGATTTTAGAGTAGGGAGTGATCAGCTGAAGCTAAAGCTAAAGTTTTAACATTTGAAAATACTAAAATATTTTGAAATATGCTTCGAGCAAATATATATGTTGAGTTGTGTATGTGACGTGTATTCATTTATCTAACACAGTGGTTGTGTTGGAGTAGCTCATATAAATGACATCTGTGCAATAATTTCAGAATGTGCAATATGGGACCCCATTTAAATACTATCACTTTACTTTAAAGGTACACTGTGTAGTTTTTACTCCCATCTTTACAACCACTTTTACAGTTCCCCAACTCCCGGTCATTCGCACCTGAGCGCCACGGAAATCATTTTTTAATTTGATACAACTTTGTCACTTGACACAGTAGCGCTCGTCTACCGCACGTGCGTGGAGGCTGAAATGTAAACGAAGTCTAAGCCGCACCCGCGCACTTCACAGAGGCTTTAATGTAGTTTTACAAATGCGGTGTGAAGAGAAGAGACAGAGGAGTCGGTGGGAGCTTAAAACCACAACGATCAGAGTATGCAGCCGTGGCAGAACTGTGGCTTAAAGATCAGATTATTATTAGCTTTAGCCACGGCGCCGCGCCCACATTGGAGTAAGAAAACATAATGTTCAATCTCACGCTGGTGATAAATAAATTCTGGCGATTGTTTTGCGAGGGATTCTGTGTGTTTTGCATATTTGATGCTTGTCCCCTGAATACATTTAGTTGAAACTTCTGGACATAGTAGTTGGACTGCGCTCAGAGCAGGTCAGATCATCCTTAGACCCATGTTGTAGATTCTGCCTTGTTCTCATTACTGTCAGTGTGAGGAAAGTTACTGTTGGTGTGAAGACAGTTACTGTCGGTGTGAAGACAGTTCTACGTCATGGTGCAACGCCCCTTAGAGGAGGCTTCGCTATGGGTAACTCATAGGCTCCCAGCCTCCCGCCAGAAAGAACTAAATGCTCCAATCACGTGCCAGTCCCATCTATAAATAGCCCTCTACAGTCCGCACCTGCCACTTTGAACTCTGGCGCCATAGAGCAGTGGTTCCCAACGTGGGGGTCCCGACCCCCCGGGGGGTCGCGGGAACCCCTGGGGGGGGGGTCGCAAGATGATTTCCAAAAAAAAAAAAACATTCTGCTAATTAATAGCGCTTAAATATTGATTTAGCATTTGATTTGATTCAAAAGGACTACTTGTTAAATTGTGTTAGGAGCAGTGTTGGGCACGTTACTTTGAAAAAGTAATTAGTTATAGTTACTAGTTACTTCTCCCAAAAAGTAACTGAGTTACTAACGGAGTTACTCCACTATAAAAGTAACTAGTTACCAGTAAAAGTAACTATTGCGTTACTTTTTCGTTTTGTTCTGGAACATAATGTGCACCCGACGTGCGCATTTTTACCTTTAACAGTGCCAATATTTCCATCTAGAAAAGTCTGTTTTGCTGCTGAAGTCCTGTTCACTCTTCATCTCTGTCTGTGCTGTAAAGCCCGCCACTGTGAATGTGGAAACACCGGTGACGAGCGGTGAGGCTGGTGAAGCACTGACTTCAGTCCAATCAGATGAACATATACATCATATAAATCAAGTGGACAATTTGTTTGGCTACAGCAAAATATGTTTTATGCCCGCATTGTTTGTTCATACAAAACGCAAAACTATGAGTTATGAGTCTTACCTTATAGCTATACCTTATAAATGACCTGCACAGTCCACTTCGGTTCAGACCAGTTCCTTGTTTAAATTCAGTGAATGGTTTGAGCGTAGATATGTAATCCTCCATTTGGAAATGAGTCCAATGAGTTTTAAAAAGTAAAACAAAACGCGTGTGTCCTCCGTAAACTCCTCTGTTTTGCTGCAGCCGGCTGCATCCAATTTCTAAAATCAACCGTCTTACACTTCACCTCTCTTTCTTATCATTCCTATAGTAATTGAAAAATTACCCTATGTGCATTTTAGATTATGTAAAAATGTGTTATATGTATGTTAGCCAAACCTGTTGCTGTCCTTAGCAGATAAACCAGGAAGAGCAAGGAGCTTATCGATGGAATTGTATGCAGCCGACTTCTGCGCTCACATGCGCTCCTCTGTGGCTGACCTCACGGTGATACAAGCCGTGGTTGAGCGCGATTAAGACCCATATTTGTTTCAAAAACACAATTTATGAGCCATCCTCTCAACTGTAGACATGTAGATTGTAAAGGAAATATGATTTACATCAGCCAATAATTGCTGAGAGGTTTTCTCATCCTCCCTTCTCTCATGACAACACGTTCATTGTGCGTCTTGAGTAACGCGCAGTAACGGGATGTCGGAAATGATAACGGCGTTATAGTTACTGTCAAAGTAATTAGTTAGATTACTCGTTACTGAAAAAAGTAACGGCGTTAGTAACGCCGTTACTAGTAACGCCGTTATTCCCATCACTGGTTAGGAGAATATAAAATATGTCCAGTCATTGACGGCGTCAATCAAAATCAAGTTACGCAGCTTACGTCACGCAGCGACAAAGCATGTCCAGCTGTTGTTTGCTAAAACTAAAGGTGTTTGGAGGCTTCAAACAAATAATACCTGCTTTAAAATGAAACGTGGTTAATATCCACAACAGAAAAACGCGGAGGGGGAGAAAAGTCACATGTGAGGTCAGACTGATGGTGCGAAGAGAGGGAGAGAGGGCAGCGGAGGGAGAGAAGGCAGCGGAGGGAGAGAAGGCAGCGGTAGAAGAGGGTGGTAAAGAGGCCCGGCTTTTCGGAGTCAGTGGTAAGTAAGTAGTAAGTAAGTAATCTTTATTTATATATATACCGCCTTTTCACTGCACATCGGAGTCTCAAAGCGGTTTACAATTGTGATTTTTGGGAGTGGGGGTGCCAGTACAGGAGGCACATGTCAGACCTATTGTACATATTTTTAGTGGTAGGGGAAACCGGAGCACCCGGAGGAAACCTACGCAGACACAGGGAGAACATGCAAACTCCACTCAGAAAGGCCCTGGTCCAACCGGGATTTGAACCCAGGACCTTCTTGCTGAGAGGCGAGAGTGCTATCCACTCAGCCACCGTGCCGCTGAGTGGTAAAGAGGTCCGCACATTAAAAGCGGGTGGCTGCTTTATGCTGTTACTTACAGTAACTTTGGAAAAAGAAGCCGCGGGGATGAAGCGCATAAAGTAACAGCAGAAAGCGGCCGCCCGCTTTTTATGTGCGGACCTCTTTACCGCTGACTCCGAAAAGCCGGGCCACTTTACCGCGGTATGAGAACAGAGAGGGCAAGCCGCAAGAAATGCGCTCCACTTCTGCTAAGAAGGGAGCCCACCAAGCCCATCACTGTGTCACTACGTGAGTAAAAATACGCAAGCCTCCTTTTTTGGGCTGGACAGTGCAGCTCAGTAGTGGCGCGAGTCTCTGCCTTACTCCGTATCAAGGAAATACATGCTCATTGACGGGAAGGACTGTTGAGGTGGGGGGTCGCGGGGGAGCAGCGCATTTATGATGGGGGTCGCGGGTTAAAAACTTTGGGAACCCCTGCCATAGAGAGATCTACTCACCGTTAGACTGAAGACTGAGGATGTCTCTGCCTTCTGATTTTGTCCGAGTTCCTCTTCGCCCTCCAGAGTCGGACGAGGAAGTGCAGCGCTTGCCCAGGTAAGCTTATCTGAGGAGAAGAGCGCTGCCCACAGAGTGTGCTTCTTTCTCCCCAGTCAGGAGAGAGAGCACCGCAGGGCTCATGCTAGCGCCGCCGAGACTTGCCCAGACTCCCCTCAGGAGGAGGAGTCTGAGGTTCTTTATGTCCCTCTCGACCTGCCTCTTGCACCCAGGCAGTGTTAATTGTGCAGTGGAGACGAGAGTTGACGAAGACTAGGGGTCTCTCGTCACGCGGGAGGAAGCCATTTTGAGGAGAGCGCTGCCTACAGGGCGTGCTACTATCTCCTGAGAGATAGCACCGCGTGGCTCATGCTAGCGCCGCGAAATCTGCCTGCTATCTCCTGAGAGAGAGCACCGCGTGGCTCATGCTAGCGCCATGAAATATCGCCCAAACTCCTCTCAGAAAGAGGAGTCTGAGGTTCATTTGTCCCTCTCGACCTGTCTCCTGCACCCAGGGAGTGTAGAGGCGGTGTTGTGGAGACCGAGTTGTCATAAGACGAGGGGTCTCTCGTCACTCGGGAGGAGATCATTCTGAGGAGAGCACTGCCTACAGAGCGTGCTGCTATCTCCCCTGGGAGGAGAGAGAGAGAGAGAGCACCTCCGCTCCCACCCAGACTGGCTTCACGTCTGGCTTCTGAGCAGGGAGAGAGAGAGAGAGACAGACACCAACGCTGTGTCCGCGTTTGCACCCGGTGATTCACTACGCGACACGCGATTGGTCCAGACCCCAGGCAGCCAAGCGGCCTGCTCTGGGTTAGGGCCACTATTGCACCGCCCAGGCCAGGTGGTAGACCTCTCCTTCCCTCTGAGCAGGATAGGATGACAATGTCTGCCCTGGATCAATGCAACGCCAACGTGTCTCAGGTGGTCACGTTGTCTAGCAACATGGCCTTCCTCACGGAGCGCTGGACACTTCTCTCTCCGCGAGCTGGGCGCTCAGCGGCGATGACCTGTCTGAGGCCAATGTCCGCATCAGCAGCACTCCGCCAGTTGGCGCGGGCTTAGCCTTTGTTCCTACATGACATGCCTTCACAGGTAGTGAAGGCATGTCACCTAACCCTAACCCGTGTGCCGGGGGGGGCCTTTTATATGCGTTTTTCCCCAACTCGCCTCCTATCGATCCTGCTGAGGAGTATCGAGCGGGAGGAGATTCTGGTCGCTCCGGACAGCCCGCAGGCCCGCCGGTTCCCGCTCCTGAGGGGCATGGCGATGATTGAGCCGTGACCCCTCCCTGAAGAGCCTTGGGCTCTGGTCTAGGGAGGAGGGACGCTTCACTCGCGCCCGGTGCTGAGCGACAGGCTCTAGGTCTGGAGGCTGAAAGGCGGAAACTCGTAGACCTGGTCCTCCCTCCGTCGGTGGTGGAGACCTGTCAATGTGCGAGGGCCTCTTCCACTATCGGGGCCTTGGGCAGTAGGTGGAGGATTTCCAATGCCTGGTGCGTGGTACGCTTTTGGGACCCCCATGTCCTGCCCTCTGGAGGGAGTTCTGGGGTTTCTTCAGGAACCTTTTGAGTGAAGGAGGGCTGCTGGCACCTGGGCAGTGTTCGCGTCAGCCATTGCCTCTGGTCACGGGGGGTTTGGGAGCTTCGGCCCGGTCCCACCCGTTGGTCAAACCCTTTCTCCGGGGGTGGGGGACCGTCCTCAGGAGGACACCTCCGGTCTGGGACCTGAAGGTGGTCCTGAGGGGCCTGTTGGGGGTCTCCTTTCAAGCCAGTTTCTCAGGCTAGCCCGTATTGTGTGGCCTTTAGGTGGCTTGGCTTCTACCAAGAGGGCGGGTGATTACAAGAATGGCGAGTGTGCACTAGCCATTCATCCGGCATGACGGTCGTTGGAGCTGGGGATGGACTGGTAGAGTTTTGGCCCAACCCAGCCTTTCTCCCCGAGGTCGTTCCTTGACCTTAGGTCTAGAGTCATCAGGATCAGACCTTTTTATTCGCCCCCTCATGTCTCGGAGGAGGATGAGCGGCGGCACCTGCTGTGTCCAATCAGGATGCTGAGATGCTACCTGGACGTCACAGCTGCGTTCAGGCGTTCTGATCAGCTGTTCGGGTGTTTGCGTCCTAGGATCGGTATCCAAACACATGGGCCGGCCCATTTAGGTGCTCTTGATAGAGGCGTCCTGGGGTTGGTCTGCCCTGAATTTCCTTGTGGGCAGCATGTGGTCCTTCAGGAACTCTTGGTAGAGGCGTCCTGGGTCTCTGGCTGACCTTGTCCCTCTGGGGCGTTCTGGCCTTCACATCGGGAGCTCTTGGTGGAGGCGACCTGGGAATGCGGCCCGCACTTATTCACAGGGGAAGCTTGACAGGGGTCTTGGGCGTCCTTGATAGGAGCGGCCTTGACCCTGGGGTGCTTGCGTTGAGTTTCGTCAGTGTCTTACGGGTGTCCTTGGTAGGAGCGGCCTTTAACGCTGTGTTGGATTCCTTTTTCCTGCCTGAGGCCACTCACCTTGGAGGTGTTGGGGGTATCTCGGGCAGGGCTCCAATGACTCCACGCTGACCTTTTTATTCGCCCCCTCATGTCTCGGAGGAGGATGAGCGGCGGCACCTGCTGTGTCCAATCAGGATGCTGAGATGCTACCTGGACGTCACAGCTGCGTTCAGGCGTTCTGATCAGCTGTTCGGGTGTTTGCGTCCTAGGATCGGTATCCAAACACATGGGCCGGCCCATTTAGGTGCTCTTGATAGAGGCGTCCTGGGGTTGGTCTGCCCTGAATTTCCTTGTGGGCAGCATGTGGTCCTTCAGGAACTCTTGGTAGAGGCGTCCTGGGTCTCTGGCTGACCTTGTCCCTCTGGGGCGTTCTGGCCTTCACATCGGGAGCTCTTGGTGGAGGCGACCTGGGAATGCGGCCCGCACTTATTCACAGGGGAAGCTTGACAGGGGTCTTGGGCGTCCTTGATAGGAGCGGCCTTGACCCTGGGGTGCTTGCGTTGAGTTTCGTCAGTGTCTTACGGGTGTCCTTGGTAGGAGCGGCCTTTAACGCTGTGTTGGATTCCTTTTTCCTGCCTGAGGCCACTCACCTTGGAGGTGTTGGGGGTATCTCGGGCAGGGCTCCAATGACTCCACGCTGGCCTGATGGGAGTACATTTCTCCTACGGCTTACGCGTGGTTACCCATAGCGAAGCCTCTTCTAAGGGGCGTAGCCTCCTCTAAGGGGCGTAGCACCATGACGTGGAATTGGTAGTTACCTAATATAACTTAAGTTCTACGAATGGCGCGTAGCCCCTTAGCTACGGGCCCATCAGTCCAGCCTGGCTTTGGCAGAGTTCAAAGTGGCAGGTGCGGACTGTAGAGGGCTATTTATAGATGGGACTGGCACGTGATTGGAGCATTTATTTCTCTCTGGCGGGAGGCTGGGAGCCTCTGAGTTACCCATAGCTAAGGGGCTACGCACCATTCGTAGAGCTTAAGTTACATTAGGTAACTACCAATTACGTATTGTTCACGTGTGCAAATGCATTGTGTACAAACTGCACAATCCTCCTCCTATAGTTTTAACCCTGTTATGAAGCTGCTTTAAATGTTTTTGCATAATTATTTTTCTAACTGTGGTCCTCAATGGATCCTACTTCAAACTTGTGAGGGCACGGTGGAAGCAACAATATTAGTAGCACCGGTGAAACGAAAACATGATTCTCACATCCATTTTGTCCCCTATCAACCAATGTATTTCAAAATGGCACATTGACATGGAAAGTCCTCCAGCTCTTGTGTACATTTATGGGTCAACATGTTTTATTTCATTTGGGGAAACTATAAATGTATTGTGTTTTCACAGATGTTCCTGTTGAAGGAGGTCTCTCAGTCGGAGCTATTGTTGGAATAACTCTGGGATGTATCGGTGTCGTCGTTGTAGCTGTTTCTATATTCTGCTGTGTTAGAAAAAAATAAATCAAATTAGTAATGTTGTTTTTGTTGTGCTGTGTGGATCTTCAACTCCGGATTGTTACACAGTAAAAAGAAAAACAAGTATTGTTTTTATTCATCATAATTGTTTGTGAAATGTCATTTTCATGTTTTGTTGGATGTGGAGAGATTAAAAGACAAAGTGTCACGGATTTTGTTTGTTTATTGCATAAAGCAGCCGAATATAGCAGCTCACTGCAGTCACCTTTACCCTCAGACCCTCTCCAGCGCTTCTCTCACTGCAGTCACCTTTACCCTCAGACCCTCTCCAGCTCCTTTCTCACTGCAGTCACCTTTACCCTCAGACCCCCTCCAGCTCCTCTCTCACTACTCTCACCTTTACCCTCAGACCCTCTCCAGCTCTTCTCTCACTGTAGTCCCCTTTACCCTCAGACCCTCTCCAGCTCCTCTCTCACTGTAGTCCCCTTTACCCTCAGACCCTCTCCAGCTCTTCTCTCACTACTCTCACCTTTACCTTCAGACCCTCTCCAGCTCCTCTCTCACTGCAGTCACCTTTACCTTCAGACCCTCTCCAGCTCCTCTCTCACTGCAGTCACCTTTACCCTCAGACCCTCTCCAGCTCCTCTCTCACTGCAGTCACCTTTACCCACAGACCCTCTCCAGCTCCTCTCTCACTGCAGTCACCTTTACCCTCAGACCCTCTCCAGCTCCTCTCTCACTGCTCTCACCTTTACCCTCAGACCCTCTCCAGCTCCTCTCTCACTGCTCTCACCTTTACCCTCAGACCCTCTCCAGTTCCTCTCTCACTTGATAAGATAAACTTTACTGATCTCACAATGGAGAAATGTACATATCACCTTTGACATAAATATTATCACTCAGGTTGTGCAAAAATACAGGAAATGTGCAAACATGTTGAGAGGTTAGATAATAATAATAATAATACATTTTATCTATATGGCACCTTTCTGGGCACTCAAGGTCGCCTTACAATGGGTACACACTTAAAAGCAAAATATAGTCCATTATGTGCAAGATATATCATGTAAAATGAGAATATTTACTACTGTCACCTTCTGACCCTCTTCAGCTCCTCTCAAAACGTTCACTTTTATCTTCCTCTTACAACTCTCTCCTCTTTAGCAAAGCTCATATATACAGTAGGAACAACATTGGTCCCAGCACAGATCCCTGGGGGACCATGTACAGTGAGTAGTAGGTTTTTTAAAAGTGCCTATTTTTACGGATTTGAACAAATTGCTGTTTGTGTGAGAAGTAGGACTTGAGCCACTATACTGGAATTCCTCCGACCCGTCTTTGACAATTTATCCATTGTGTAGCCTGTCTGGTCAATAATGATCCCTCGAATATTTTTATTTATTTTATTGTAATTTCTTCAATTAGATCCTAGGAACACATGAGCTATAGCAAAGCAAGGACCTTTTTAGTACTGTGATGGGAGACCTCTGGGAACACCAAGTGCCCCATGGCAACTGTGGCTACAGAGGCAGTGAAAGAATGCTGTTAAGAGAATTTGAGTGTCCAGAAAAGCAGTGTAACCAACGTATTATTATTTTAATGTGCGGGTGATAATGCTCTCTCGCTATTTCCGAGTATTTGAATATTTACTGTACATCCTCTGCTGGGCCTTCTTGATGAGGGAGCTGATGGTCGGCTCCCACTTGAGGTCCTGGTGAGGTGGTGCACAGAGGTGATGGGGGAGTCCAGGGATGGCAGGGGCGGGAGGACTGTGTTCTTCCTGAAGTCCACAATCTTCTCCATTGTTTTCTGGGCGTTCAGCTCTAGGTTGTTACCACTGCACCAGGACACCAGCCGGTCCACCTCCCTCCTGTAGCCGAACTCATTATTGTTTGAGATGAGTCCAATGAGGGTGGTGTCGTCCACAAACTTGATCAGCTTGTGGACGACGGACTGGGTCGTGGCTGGAGGTGCAGTGGTTGGTGTACAGGGAGAAGAGCAGGGGAGAAAGAACACAGCTCTGTGGGACTCCTGTATTTATAATCCAAGAGTCCGAGACATTCTTCCTCAGGCACACACGTCAGGAAGTCAGTGATCCACCTGCAGGTGCATCGGCATGTTGAGCTGGGAAAGCTCGTTCTTGAGCAAGGATGGCAGGATGGTGTTGAAGTAGAGCTGGCACCAACTGTGGACTTCATGGTATGGTACTATAAGATGTGGTGGAGGGCCAGATTTATGGCATCGTCTACAGATCTGTTGGCTCTGTAGGCGAACCGCAGGGGGTCCAGGAGGGGGGAGGTGAGGGACTTGAGGTGGGGTAGCCCGAATCGCTCAAATGACTCTATAAGGCTGTCATGGAGTCACTCTCTCTCTGGTCTATATCCGCTCTATCTCTCTGGACTCTCTCTCTCTGATCGCTCTTTCTGGTCTTTCTCTCTGGACTCTCTCCGATCGTTCTTCCTGGTCTTTCTCTCTGGTTTCTCTCCCTGATCTCTCTGTTACATATTGTATTCTATATGTTTAATTCTATCTTACAATAATAGTAATGCAGCCTATTATTGTAATCTATATATCAACATGTTAAATGATAGAGAGGGGGTTGAGATAATTTAAGCGTCATTCACACCCATTTCAAATCTGTTCTGTCTACTGTTGTGTTCTGCAGTATGAACAAGAAGGGGCAGCATCCTCCGTCTCACACTGCAGCCTGCCAGGGAGGTTTAAGCGAAGAAGTAGACATTTTTCCCGTTTCTTTTCTTACGTTACCAGATGATGTCCAAACCATAGACTGTGAATGATCAACCAGTGTTTCGGTGATACGTAGAGACTTGAACATTACATACAAATGGGTACTAAAGCCTGCGTACTAGTGTTTATAGGTCGTTATAGGTAGTTATCATCGCGTCAAACCGCATATTTTCCCCAACGCAGGGCAGGATTTTACACATCCTGCCCTCACACTGGAATATAACACATTTCTCAAAACCTAAACGAAACTATCTGTTCTTAATCTTTGTTTAGTGGCATGACTTAACTGTAAAATTATTTACATTTGTTAGAAGGGTTTTTGCGTGGAAATGTTCCTGTGTCGGGGTAAAAACTCCGTCACATTTTCAGCACGCGGAAGTCCATTGAATCAGTCGCACAGACGCCTGCAGCTGGTTTCTTGGAGTAACTAAACATTTCACCGGTAAGTTTCCTTTTCACACATGTCCAACTTGTTCCTACAGACTTATAATGACCACACCATCTCTCTTGTCCCTCACTGGTCTCTCTCTCTCTCTGGGCTCTATGATCAGAGTCTCGAGTATATAAAGCCTTGTTTTGTTGGTTTCTCATTTACCTCAAGTTCATACGAATCTATTAATTTCAGAATCAAAAAGCGATCCCACAGTGGCTTAGGGTTAACGTTGGTCCATAGTCAACATTGTCAATCAATAACATCTGACGGATTAACGTGAACTTTTAAACTTTACAAAGAACCATTTTATCAAATGAACTTTCTCTAATGACCCAAACTGTCATGCTTATCAATCAAACTATCAATCACCTTTTATGAATAGATCCTTACACACACAGTGACCAAAGTGCTTTACCAGATCAAAGTGCAAACAACATGAATCCATAACATATACATTCAATAACAATAAAAATGTGTTCAATAGAAATAAAGCGACACTCAGTTCAGTGTCTGGGGCAGCGACAGAGAAGGGCCCCACTCTGGTCTGCACACCCCAGGCCTAGAGACTTTCACAAGAGCTGTTTTCTTTTTGTTTATTCAACATCACGTCCTTGTAATGATTGCATATAAAATGCAGATTCTAGGAAAATAAGAACATATGATATCCATATACAGGGCTCTGCTAATCAATTGATATTACTTGTTATGATGTTTAATTTCTAATATACAATACAATACAAAACAATACAATACTAGAGGACAAATAGATAGTCCTCTATTGAACTATTGTTACTTACATTTGGTAAAGAAAAAAAGTAATCTCTATTTTTATAGCGCCTTTCACAAAGCAGTTTACAGTTGTTGTGGCCGTATGTCCTCTCAATCCACTCAGGAGAGCACAGACACATACAGGCGGTGCATGCTATTGTACTTGTTTTTATTGGTAGGGGAAACTCCACACAGAAAGGCCTGGAGGTGGAATTGAACCCAGGACCTTCTGAACCACAAACCAACCGCAAACACGATGAGAACTCGCACACTGTTCCAACCGGGATTCAAACCCAGGACTTTCCTGCTGAGAAGCAAGAGTGCTAACTACTGTGCACAGTTTTATGTTGGCTAATTTGAGTGACATGTACACCTGTGTTAATGTATATGACTGTGATTTCAGTTATGTCGGGGGCCCCTCCGGTGCTAATGCGGCTGGTGGCTTCAGCCTTCTGTGTGGCAGAGAGAGCAGGGGCCATAGTGCGCAGGGTTCTGCACAGTGGAGAGCTGGGCATCGTGGAGAAGGTCAGAGTCAAATTTGTTTATGATCCATGTGTTTAGAGCTGTTTGTGTGATATCACATTTTATTATATGACTTGGACCGTACGCGCGCTCTGATTGGTTGATTTGCGGTCTGCTATTTTCCCATCTCGGACCGTTACCATGACAATTGGTCCGAACAGCGCGTATCACATTTGATATCTTTCCACGGACCGTTACCATGACATCGGTCCACAGCCCGTATCACACAAAACCAAGTCGGACATGAACATACTTCACAAATATCTCAAAAGCATTGGTAAAGACACAGACGAGAGTCATATAATAAAACATTTATTAACCTTGCTTGCTCGGTTTATCCATTAAGCAGTCAATCTCAACTAATTTTAACTCTCTTTATATGATAAATGTTTTTGCCATAATCTTCTTTTAGTAATATCAATTATGTGTAAATGACTACTTTGTCTAAGAACTCTCCGTGGGATTTGTGTGTTTGACAACAATTTATTCTTTTAGACTTGGTTAAGAATTATTTTATTTTATGACTACTGCAAAAGTTTCAGTCAGAATTTTTCCCACTGAGGGAGGATTAAGGTTGATCTTATCTTATGTTACAAATTACAAATGGACGTGTGCCTTGTGTCTTGGGTTGAGTTTAGAGTTTTAAACTTGCATCTTTCCTTGTCTTTGTTTTCAGAGCGGTGCTAACGACCTGCAGACGCTGGCCGACAGACTGGCGCAGCAGAGCATCTGTGCCTCTCTGTCCAGACGCTTCCCCAACCTCACCATCATCGGAGAAGAGGTGCTTGTTTTGACTCATCTGATCTGTCCAGTCATTTAGGGTTATTGTCTAGAGGAGACTAACAATCTTAAACTCAACCTTACAGTCTTCCCCCAAACTACAAAGAACTACATTATACCCACTTACGCTGCTTCAAACCATGGCTGAAGTAATGTTTGCCAGGACAGTTAGCATTAGAAGGTGCTAAACGAAACTCTGTGGTGTTGAACAGGATTTGCCCTCAGAGGAGGCGGGGGACGAGCTCATCGAGAGTGGTCAGGCAGACGACGTCCTCCTCAAAACCTGTCCTGAGGAATTTACAGACGTGAAGGAAGAGGAGGTAACATTGCTGGAAAAATATTTTCACAATATTTTATATCATCAGATAATAGTGACCACAAATGCCCTGTGTCTGTTGTCTTCAGCTCGTGGTGTGGGTGGACCCTCTGGACGGGACCAAGGAGTATACAGAAGGTACAGTTAAAGGAGACGTGCAAAATCGACTTAGGGCTGAATGTCTGAGTGAGGATGGTGCTCTTTATTTTTTCACATTTCTGTCTGAACAAGCTGCAGATCCATGTGATGAAGAGCAATTATGTTTTGGTTATTTGAATTATTTGAATATTTCTGCCGTCCCTTTGTTTTGCCAAATGGATACTCATCAACACTAGATAAATATATTTTTTTTGGTTCTCTGGCTGAACTTATAAATGGCGCAGTATGTAAAAAATATGGCCAAAAAGAGTTTTGTCAACAGCTTTAAACAACACCTTTTTCACAAAGATAGAAATCCTGGTTTTATTCCTTGTTTTGTCATTAATCATTTGAGAATCATAACGAGACCTTCTTTACTTCTGCGGCCACATGTTAGTGAGATTAGCTTGACGCGGTGAATTCTGGCAACCCGGATCACGGACTTTCTGATTGGAAAACAGTGGAGGGCGGGATATTGAAATTAAAACAATAATAGGATCAGTTAAGGCATTAACAAAACATGTTCTTTTCAAATAATTCTTTATGACAGATTTGGGCCATTTAATGATGACTTGACATGAAAATCTTACATATTGCTACTTTAGAGCAGTGGTTCCCAAAGTGGGGGAACCCCTTGGGGGCTTGCAAGATGATTTCCGAAAAAAAAAACATTGAACAAATATGTAGCCCTTAAATATTTCTTTTGATTTGATTTAAAAGGACTACTTGTTAAAGAAGGCAGTGGAGGGAGAGAGGGCAGTGGAGAACACCACGGTACAGAGGCCTGGCTTTTCGGAGTTAGCGGTAAAGAGCCATTAAAAGCCGGTGGCTGCTTTATGCTGCTACTAACAGTAACGTTGGAAAGAGAAGCCGCGGGGATGAGCCGCCAAAATGCACTTTTTACCGTGAGTAACAGAATAAAGCGGCCACCCGCTTTTAATGTGCGAACCTCTTTACCCGGGTCTCTTTACCGCGGTCGGAGAACAGTGAGGGCGAGCCTCCTTTTTTGGGCTAGTGGCACGAGTCTCTATAAAGCGTTTTTCCGAATCAAGGAAATACTGCTCATTTCATGTGACGGGAAGGGCTGTTGACGTGGGGGTCGCGAGGCAGCAGCGCATTTATCCTGGGGGTCGCAGGCTAAAAGGTTTGGGAACCCCTGCTTTAGAGGACTTTTTTGAGTTTTTTAACCTGTTACAACCTTGGACCTCATCAGTCACAGACTTGGGGTTGTTTTTTGGTCTATACACACCAATATCAGGAACTTCGGTCACAAACATGTAGCTCAGCCCTTTCTGTCTAGAAGCTCCTATGTCAGTCTTGTAATACTGAGACAGGACTGAGACCAGTTTAAGCTTTACTCGGGCAATCAGTCTGCCATCAACCCCTCCCACCCCCACCAACCTTTCCCACCCCCACCAACCTTTCCCACACATCTGACTCATTCATTTTTCATAGTCAGGATCACTATGACGGCACACTAAGACCAGTTTTCTGTCTTTAAAACAAAAGTAGACACCAGAGAGAGAAACCGCTATGACATACATTAATACCGCTATTAATCCAAAAGTATTAATTTTAGTAATAATTTTGTATTTTTCTTAACTTTTAATTATTCAGGTTTTTAAGTTTAGCTCCAACTCACTCTGGCTCCTATTGACTTGGGGAAGTAACAGTCTGTGGTTTTGCACTCTCTATGATCCTGTTTATATTGTCTTATATATATATTTATATATTAAATTAGTTGTTGTTGTCGTCCCAGGCCTATTGGATAATGTGACGGTCCTCATCGGCGTTGCTCACAGAGGGAGAGCCATTGCAGGCGTCATCAACCAGCCGTTCTACAACTATCAGGTGACGACCGTGTTAGAAGCTTTGATCTCAGTCACTGATCATGGTTAATTATTAGATACTTTTACAATTGTTGAAGAACAATTGGAGCTGCTGTTTCCTATCTGTGGGTTTTTGATTATTATTAAATATCCAATAAAGAAATCTAAATCTATACATACAAATGTATGTATTTATATTTGGGGTTCGAAAAAAAAAAAAAAATCAACCTTAATCACAATAGTCTTCCTGGAGGACTTTACTAATAATAACACATAGAAGAGCCATTGGTCCATAGCGAAAACTTTCCAGAAATGTTAATAAATATGTAGAAATGTCCCTGATCATCACTGTCCTTCGACCCTCCTGCATTAATAAGGAACCATTCAGAAACCCAGTGGGGAAAAAGTGAGAAACTGGCTCTAGATCCATGACTGAGGTGAACAGCACATGTTGTGACTGGACTCCATTGCTTTTCCGTCAGCTAGGGTCGGGTGCCACTCTGGGCCGGACCCTCTGGGGGGTCCTGGGACTGGGGGCGTTTGGATTTGAGCTAAATGAAGCCCCCGCGGACAGACGCATCGTCACAACCACCAGGTCCCATAGCAACAAACTGGTCACAGACTGCGTGGACGCCATGGAGCCACACGAGGTGGTCCGCGTAGGAGGAGCCGGGAACAAGGTGAGAGGGGAGGGCCACCATGTCTGCTTTCAGTTATAGTCTCTAATCTTGCAGCTTTTCATTTAAAGTCTACTATCAATGGGACAGAATGTGTGAAAAGACCAGGGAGAGACACCACTACCTAACTCGTCCTGGGTAAGGGTCCTGGGTGGGGGTCCTGGGAGAGGGCCCTGGGAGAGACCACTTCCTGACTTGTCCTAGTGAAAGAGCAGGGAAGAGAGACTGACCAGGGAAGAGAGAGCGACTAGGGAAACTAGAGAGACTTCTTCCTGACTTGTCCTGGTTCTCGTCCTGGTTCTCGTCCTGACTCGTCATATTTTTGTGGCAGATCCTGCAGCTCATCGAGGGCAGGGCTTCAGCGTACGTGTTTGCGAGTCCTGGCTGTAAGAAGTGGGACACCTGTGCTCCGGAGGCCATCCTACATGCAGTGGGAGGTACGTCAGAATAAACAGAAGACATTTACCCTTAATTTGTGATGAGAGAGGTCCCGGAACGCAGCGGATGAGTTGACCCGGCGAGTCCTGTGGGGTTGTCTACTGCTGTTGTCTATTCAGAGGCTGCAGTAATTACATTTGTCCTCTAGCTTTTAATTTTACAATGAAACACTTCAAAACACTGACACAGTTGATACACAAAGCGAAGTAATGACTACAGTGTCTGAGTCTATCGCTACCTATACATACAAATGTATAGGTAGCGATACACTGCAGAAGAAAATGTAAACAATCCCTTTGAGAAATTCAACATTTGAGCGTTTATTTTGAGAGTGAACATGAAGCGAGTCGGCTGTACGGAAAATACTTTTTAATATACTCGTTATTGCAGAGTGCTACAACACATGGCCTATTGGGTAGGGCTGGCTGAAGCAGTGCACTAAAGTCTCTCTTTCTCTGTGTGCGTGCGTGTCTCTTTGTGTGTTGCAGGTAAACTCACAGACGTTCACGGAAACTCGTACCGTTACGACGCAGACGTAAAACATATGAACTCAGCCGGAGTTTTGGCCACGCTCCGGAACCATCAGTTCTACATCAGCAGAGTGCCCCCCTCTGTCCTGCAGGCACTGACATGAACCCCCCCAGACTCTCGGTCTCTTTTTTTTGAGAGACATCTTTACCAGTTTTTCCATCAAAAAGACGAGTGCCACATAGAGCACCTGGGGTTTCCAATCACTGGTGTCCAACAAGATCAACAAATGACTGCTGCTAAGTTCCGTAGATTTATGTTTGAATACAATCGATTAGGTATATATCTATCTATTGATTCATACTTGAGAGACAGTGTGCCACATTCTGTTTTATGTGATTTTTCCACTACAAATCTGTCTACACATTATTATTGTTATAGTAAATGTAAACAGCACTTAACAATTTGGAATCTTGTCTTTTTATTCAATTGTTTTTCAATTCTTTCTTCTACAGGTCAAATAATTGCTGCATAAACGCTTCTATTTGCAGTAATGTTTAATAAATGTTTGAAAGATGAAATGTGTAACTTCTGTGTCGTTGTCTACAATACATATCCTCATAATAACTGTTTAAATAAGGCCCATCCCTTGGCACAAGCTTCAGCAGAAACATTTGCTGCAAGAGAATACTTGGACCAATAGGGAGCTCAGTTTTCTATAAGGAGTTGTATTCTTTGCCTCCAATCAGGTAGCAGTGGGGGTGGGGCTAACCGTTGCTTATGGTTCAAACATTTTATCTTGAACACATTTTGAGCATTTGGAACGGTGGCTGAGTAGATAGCACTCTTGCCTCTCAGCAAGGAGGTCCTGGGTTCGAATCCCGGTTGGAACAGGGCCTTTCTGAGTGGAGTTTGCATGTTCTCCCCGTGTCTGCGTAGGTTTCCCCTACCACTAAAAACATGCACAATAGGTATGAATGTAAATGAGAGTGAATGGATAGTGTTGATTGGGGGCTGATGCGCCAGTGTGTTCGGCGACTCGCTTCCGTCATCACCGTGTGTGGAATGATTGAAACAATATCTTGACTCTGAACATTGTAAAGCGCTTTGGGTGACTTTGGTCTGTAAAATGCGCAATATAAATAAACATTATTTACTTACTTCACTATTTAAAAAGTACCAAGCTTCCTTTTAACCTTGAAACAAAGATCAACAAGAAAATAATACAATATTTTAGAGAAATATCTGAACTCTCAACACTTGTAAAGCACTTTGAGTGACCTTGGTCTATACAAAGCACTATATAAGTAAAGATTTATTTTTTTAATTTTAAGTAAGGCACGTATTGAATATTTCTATAGTTATTAAGCTTTGTATCCAACACAAATCTCTACAGACATCTATGCCAATAAATACAGTTATTTCATGAACTTTTTAAACACAAACTTAATACATTCCAGGTTTTGGACATTAAGGACAATTACATCGGCTGCACTCAGGCAACCAGTCTGTGCCCCCCCCCTCCCCCACCACCAACCATTTGCACACACCAGAGTCATTCTAATTTGGGTCAAGTGTCTTGCCGAAGGACATAATTTCAGTGGCACTTGGTGTTCCCAGAGGTCTCCCACCCACAGTACTTAGTGAGAGAGAGAGATGAGTCAGAGGGATCAGAGGGAAAGACCACACAGAGTGAGACCAGAGAGATCATATTTACAAGTATTAGCCAAAGTCAAAAACATGAAAATCTGTTTCTTCTTTGGAGGCTGTGAAAAACAACTGTTTTTTGTAAAAGTCTTGTAAATCTAAAAGCTGGTCCCGTAAACTTTCACACTTTTGTTTTTCTTCAGGCAGGAGCAGACGGCCCAGGCCACACCAAAGCCAGACTGCCAACGGAGGCCAGCACGGGGACCCACACGGGCAGGCTGGGGGGACACAGAGGCTGGGGGCCGGTCACCGAGCTGGTCCAGGGGGACGTGGAGCTCTCTGGACCTGGGGTGGATGGTGGAGCGGTGGAGGAAACAGACAAACTGTTCATTTTGGTGAAAATGAAGGGAGCGTCCTGTATGGAAAACATGACAAAGAGGTGACAAAGAGAGAGGCCAGAAAGGGAGACTAGACTAAAAAAAACTAGCGTGATTGACCATAGGGAGACGACAGAGAGAGAGTCTCGTTAAATGAGACACAAACAGTCGCTACATGAAACCTGAACAACCACTCACGATGCTCCACATTTTGTCAGTCTCCAGTCTCATATTCCCTGCATAATTGATTCTTAGCCTTCCCTCCTGTCTTTCTTTTCTCTTACAGACCAGACACTTCAGGTGAGTTCAGGACCATGACTGTCATACCTGTGTGGGACAGTGGATCTTGGAGCGGTTGTGTGTGTAATCGTTTAACGCAGTCTTCCTCCCGACAGGCTCCAGCTGAGAACACATTCAAACACACTTTAATATATCAATTTTCCCATTTATCCCAATTGTTTTGCTCTAAAGTCATATCACCATATTATTCCACAAAGCGATAGCCATCTCAGCCTGGGCCCGGTCACTGAGGTGGAAGCAGTCCAGAGAATAGAAACTGGTGTCCACCTCTCCCTCCTAAAAGACCCTTGATATTACCAATAATCAACTGGCCAGTTCTGGTGTCTTCTGTGTGTGTGTGTGTATGTATGTATATATACATACATAAACACATACATACATAAACTATTATTGTACACTTCTTACCCCAACGTGTGGGAGGAAGTAATTGTGTAAAAATGGCTGAAGGACCACAGCAAAGTCTTCTTTTCTGTCAAATCGGTCGCTGGACAAAAGAAATTCCAGTTCTGCCTAAAAAACAACAAAAAATCAAAAGCAAGTGTAAAAGGAAGTACACAACAACACCAAAGTAGAATAGTGAGAGTATAAAGCCCCGTTTCCATCAGCCCTACTCTATCCTGCTCTATACTACTCTATTCTACTGTACTGCACTCTATTCTACTGTACAGTACAGTAGATAGAGTAGGGAAAAGTAGTTTGGGAAAATTGGGCTTTGCATTTGTTCACAAAACTCTTTCATTTTGCTTCTTATTAAACTTTTTTTGTAAAAAAGTGTGATTGCATACATAGTTATACAGTCATTCAAATTGGCAAAAAGGTGACGCTATGGTGACGGCTCAGGAGGAGTGATATAGAAACTGTTTAACATGAGGCTTAAGTCAGGATTAAGAAGGACCTGTGTTCTTATGTTTAAACCACACAACCACACTGCTCACAGGACAGAGAAGGTAGATGTAGAGGCTGTAGATCCAAGACTCAGGCTATAGTTTCAGGACTGATGCTATAGATCTAGGACTGAGTGTGTTGAAACCACACAACCGCACAGCGGCCCTACGTGTTTGATCCTTACAATGTGGTCTTTATTGGGAATACTTGGAAATCAAATCTGACCTGATATTCCCGATTGATCCTTCTTATTTCTTCAAACTCTAGGGAGTTGATGGAAGGGTTCACGACACAAGGACACTCTGTCCTGGAAAAGAGGGACAAATACATCATTGAGTGAAGTTTGACTTGATTGTGGATCTGACTGTAGAAACACAGACCTCTGCAGCAGCGAGCAGCCGATTGTGTTTCTCTGGACGCTTTTCAAAGTGTCTATTTGCAGAACCTGGACAACATTCACCAGCGCCCGCGGCACCTGGAGACACGGAGAGAGCAAAGTGAGATCCTCTGGTAATTCTACTTCAGCATCTACAGTTGCGCTTTAGAGTGTACACGGATATGACAGCTGTTTGTTTTACTTTAGAATTTTTTTAACAATTATTTTTCTTTTTAAACTGACGACCCTTTTGATTCAAATCTCTATAAACCAGAGCGAGAGAGACAAGGAAGAGACTAGAGAGAACAGAGAGACCAGAGAGGGAGACCAGAAAGAGTCTTGTATTAGGGTGTATTACAAATGTATCTATAAAATGTAAATATACACGTGTGGCATGTCGGTGTGCACCGCACTGAAAGATGATTGGCTTGGACTTGTGGAGCCCATTAAAAGCAGGTGCGTGTTCGGCGCGCGCACATGAGTCTTGGCCTGGGTGCGGTGGTCGCACGTTTGGTGACCGTCAGCTTTACTTGGTTGGAGGCTGCTGGAGCGCGTGGGAGAAGCGCTTTGGCTTTTGCCGCGAGTTTGGGTGCTCCACAATCGAGGTAAGTCGCTCATTGTCCGCCTTTTCATTCTTGGCTCTCAAAGCCAAAGCTGAGCGTAAACCTGTTTGCCCCAGACCCTGAGCTGCAGCTGAGACAAGTCTGGTATCCATACCGGCTCTCCCCCTCCTCCCACTGGCCGTGAGTGCGTGCCTTTCACTGGCAGATTTGTGCCTGTCATTCAGGCTCTCTCCACGTGTGGTCTATACCAGGGCTACCACTCTGAAAGGCAGCCGCTGTTCTGTCCACCTCTGTCTCGCATGTCTCTGGAGACGCTGGAGCGCGCTCACGTGTGGCCTCCTGGCTCGGATCACACCGCTGCAGCGTGCACGAGCGCTGGAGTGCTCTAGTTTAAAGGGCATGTCCTGTGGCACCCGGACCTTCGTTAATAATCTTTCTTTTTGTTTATTTAGGTTATTCTGAGTGGTTTGGTGAGTTTATCTTGATTTGGTGTTGATTTATTTTGCCTTCGCATGCTTTTTGCTTGGCTTTTTCTTTTGTTTGCTTTATTTGCATGGCTTGCAGTTTGTTTTCTTTTATTGAATGACTTGGTTCATTTACATTGCTATTTGTTTCTTTTTGTCCTTGTGTCCTGATTTGCCACCATTTTAAGAAATACATTTGAACCATTTTTTCCATTAAAGGCCTATTTGATGTATTTAACTTATGATTGTGAAAATAAACTTGTGAACTGTTTTGTAAGTATAGTCTCGCGTCTCCTATGTCCACAACTTGTGCGGCCTTATTATACCAATTATTTGGGTGGTCCCTAGACCACCTGGCGTTGCTGGAACTGTTAAATCTCCCTTTTTTTTACACCCTCACGTCACATCTTGGCGTTGCTGGCAGGATCGGACATAATAAGAGACGTGAAACTGTATTACATCCAGTTTAAATGTTTTTTTGAAAGTAGTTTTGATGAGTTGTTCTTCGAGCTATTTTGATATATTGTACTTTTATCGTGTGTGGGTGGTAGTCTGGATAGAACAGCGGTTATCATTTCAGGTACCAAAATTAATCCTCTCAGTCAATTCTTTTCTATATAGCTTTCCTAAAGGTTGCTTGGCTCTGCGCTCTCGCGAGTATGGAGGAGGAGATGCAGCAGCTCAGGGAGCAGCTGGCTCAGCTTAAGGCGGACAATGAGCGACTTCTTCACAATGGGGCGTCAAATCCGGCTGGCCCGAGCGGGGCTTCCCAGGCCTCGGGCGTCTCCACTGGTCAAGCTCGGTCGCTGGGCTTTCACACCCCCACTACAGACCGAGTGCTTGTGATGACGCGGGACCAAAAATGCCCTCTGTTTAATGGTAAGTCCGGCCTATCTTTCAGTGAATGGTTGGAAGAAGCACAAGCCTGTATGCGGGCTCGACACCTCTCTGCAGTTGATCAAGCGTTCTTTCTCCTCGACCACTTGGAGGGGGAGGCGAGGAATGAAGTTAAGTTCCGTCCAGTAGAGGAACGTGAAAATCCAGGTAGAGTGGTAGAAATTCTTAAGGAGCTCTATGGTTGTGCCCAACCATATGTCACCCTGCAACAGGCATTCTTCTCGAGACGACAGGAGGAAGGGGAAACTTTGCGGGAGTTTTCCTTAGCTTTGTTGGCTATTATGGAGCGGGTAAAGCAGAGTGCCCCGGATGGGGTGCCCAACTCAGAGGTTCTCCTTCGAGACCAATTTACTGAACATGTCATTGATTGGGGCGACAGTAGCTCAGTTGGTAGAGCATTGGCCTTAAGGCCAGAAGGTCGTGGGTTCAATTCCCACCTCTGCACCTTCTCCATCGACTCCCACTGATGACTGCTGTCGTTGTGTCCTTGGGCAAGACACTTAACCCCACTTTGCCCAAAGCCCCCACTGAAAGATCAAGGCTATGCTCACACTCAGAGAGCAGCCGTCCTCCTGTGGACTCACCACCTGCAGAGGGTCAGTGAGGGGCTGGTGCTATGAGACTTGGGTGGCATCTCTGACTGCCACCCCCCTGACCCAGAAATGGATTAAAGGGAAGAAAATGGATGGATGGATGGATGGTCATTGATGGTGCTCTACGTAGGGACCTGAAGCGTTTTATTCGTGATAACCCAGTTGCAACCTTGCTTCAAGTAAGAGCTGAGGCACTCAGATGGGAAAGGGAGGGGCTCCCCGGCCATTTCAGAGAGCGTAGTTTCTCCCTTCCCTCGGTCAGTGGCCTGCAGTATGAGGTCAGGGGTTTCACTCGCGCCACTCCGGTGGCACCTGGTCCGCCTGCGGCACCTGGTGTGAGTGAGGTGATGGAGCTGCTTAAAATACAGCAGGAGCAGCTTAGTCTACTTACTCAGACAGTGGCTTCATTGCAGGCCCCGCAACAGAATAATAGACGGCAACGCAGTGGTATAACCTGTCGTAGGTGCAATCAGTTGGGCCACTACGCCAGCGAATGCGATGGCGAGAGAATCGTGTCCCGTCCTCGAGCCAATTCTCTGGTCGGACCATCCAATGTTCCATCCCGTTCGGGAAACTGAAGCCCTCTGAACCGTGGAGCCAAAGTTCAGTAGGGGAGGTCCCAGGCTCACAGGTCGGCAATGTTTCAGAGTTAATGGCCTCTTGTCCAAACCTTATGGTGGACATGGGTGGGGTTCATATCAAATGTTTGGTGGATACCGGTTCAATGGTGTCTACCATTACAGAAAGCTTCTTCAAGGAACATTTCGAACCTTGGGGCTCTGACCGCCTCCGCTCCTGCCATTGGTTGCAGTTGCGGGCAGCCAATGGGCTTGAGATCCCTTACATGGGCTACCTGGAGCTCGATGTGGCCCTCTTCGACAAGAAGATTCCCCGCTGCGGAGTACTTGTCGTACGAGATCCTCCTGGCACCGGGGACTCTGCCCCTGGAATTTTAGGTATGAATGTAATTCGCCGATGCTACAAGGAGCTTTTTGGTACCCATGGTACTTCATTGTTTGATTTGCCCGCAGTTGTGCAGGCCCCGGGTCCAGTCATAAAGGCCCTACAGAGCTGCCACCATGCTGCTGCAGCGCCAGAAACCACTATTGGCACGGTGAATGTCAGAGGGCCTCGAGCTGTGCGTATACGAGGTGGCACTATGAGGCTGGTTGTCAGTACATGCCCTGGACAGTTTGCTGGAAGAGCTGCCCTGTTTGAGCCCCCTCCGACTGGCCTTCCAGCTGGCCTCCTAGCCTCGCCTTGCCTGGTTCAGGTGGACCATGGCACGGTTTACATCCCGGTAGTCAATGTGGGGACAAGTGATGCACTCCTGTATCCCCGGACCACCCTAGGATCCCTGAGTAAGGCAGAGGTAGTGAGTTTACCTCCGGGAGTCACAGAGGTGAGTTCCGTTGCAGCCACAGTGTCCTCCCAGGCAGAGGCTGAGTCGATCCAGGGCAGATTGGAGGAGGCGGACCTGTCCGCCCTAAAAGAGGAGGAACGGGCAGGAGTCAGGGCTTTGTTGCAGAAGTACAGGGACGTGTTCGCGGCACATGAGGGCGACTTGGGGTGCACCAGCTTGGTTGACCATGAAATCCCTCTGCTTGATGACGTTCCTGTCCGGCAGCGCTATCGGCGTATTCCCCCGTCCGAATACGAGGCTGTGAAGTCTCATATAAACCAGCTCCTCGAGGCGCAGGTGATCAGGGAAAGTAATAGTCCTTATGCATCTCCCATCGTCCTGGTCCGAAAGAAGGACGGGAGTCTTCGCCTGTGCGTCGACTACCGCCTTCTTAATAGTAAGACCAGGAAGGATGCCTTTCCCCTGCCCCGCATTGAGGAGAGCTTAGATGCGCTGGCGGGGGCCCGTTGGTTTACAACCATTGATTTGGCCAGTGGATACAATCAGGTTCCGGTTGCAGAGCAGGACAAGCCTAAGACGGCATTCTGTACTCCATTTGGTCTCTTTGAATGGAACAGAATGCCGTTCGGCTTGTGCAACGCTCCGGGTACCTTTCAGCGTCTCATGCAGAGGATGTTTGGGGACAAGCAGTGAGAGTCCCTACTGCTGTACCTAGACGATATAGTAGTTTTCTCCACTTCAGTTAAACAACATCTGGAACGACTGGAGCTGGTCCTGAGTCGCCTTCAGAAGGAGGGCTTGAAGGCAAAACTGGAGAAGTGTGCCTTCTTCAAGCGAGAAGTTGGCTATCTTGGTCACATAATCTCCAGCAAGGGTGTTTCCACAGACCCATCAAAAATTGAAGCCGTGGCAAAGTGGAAACGACCAGCCCACCTGTCTGAATTGCGATCGTTCTTGGGTTTTTCCAGTTACTATCGCCGGTTTGTGGAGGGCTTTGCCCGGTTGGCCGCACCTCTACATAGGTTGGTGGCCTCACTGGCTGGTACAAAGAATAGGAAGGGATCTGGACAGCCTTTGGGTTCACTATGGACACCCCAGTGTGAGGAGAGCTTTGAAGGCTTAAAAGCAAAGCTCATTTCTGCACCTGTGTTGGCCTATGCTGACTTTTCGCTGCCTTTTGTCCTCGAAACTGATGCCAGTTTCAGCGGCCTGGGCGCAGTGCTCTCACAAGAGACCCCCACAGGTTTACGGCCTGTGGCATATGCCAGTCGAGGTCTGCGGCCCACTGAGCGCAACATGACTAACTACAGCTCCATGAAGTTGGAGCTGCTTGCACTCAAGTGGGCCGTGACCGAGAAGTTCAGGGATTACCTGCTGGGACACAAGTGTGATTTACACGGATAACAACCCGCTGAGCTATTTCCAGACCGCAAAGCTTGGAGCCCTGGAACACAGGTGGGCAGCACAACTGGCTGCCTTCGACTTTCAGATAAAATACCGCTCTGGGCGAAGCAATGGGAATGCGGATGCCTTGTCAAGGCAGTACGTGACATCTGCAGACTTGGCTGCTAGTGTGTTACCAGGGAGCTCAGTTCCACTTGCCCTTCAGCAGACTGCTCAGCCATTTGCAGCAGTGCAGTCCCTGATCTCGGCACTGCCGGACTGTTCGTTGACTGACATCTGCGCCTTACAGAGGTCTGATCCTCTTTTGAGGGAGTTCCTGGTATATTGGCAGAGGAAGAGCCCACCCAGTAAGATTGAGCGAAAGCACCTTTCCAGGCCAGCATTGGTCTTATTCCAACAGTGGGACCGCTTAGTTGAGAGGGAGGGCGTGTTGTATCGCTGCGTTCAACGACCGGACGGAGGGGAAGAGACATTTCAGGTCCTCCTCCCTGCAACATTAAGGGAGAAGACACTGCAACAGCTCCATCAGGAGCATGGCCACCAAGGCATTGAGAGGACAACTGAACTTGTCCGTCAAAGATGCTACTGGCCAGGGATGTCAGCGGACATCAAACAGTGGGTACTAGAGTGCGACAGATGTCAATCTGCAAAACATCCAGCACCCATTCCCCACAGTTACATGGGCCATTTACTGGCGTCACGGCCTAACGAAATATTGGCTATTGATTTTACCATGTTGGAACCGACTCGCAATGGTGTTGAAAATGTGTTGGTAATGACCGACGTATTTACAAAGTACACCTTGGCAATCCCAACTAGAGACCAACGGGCACAGACTGTTGCCAAAGTCCTGACCAACGAATGGTTCTATAAGTTTGGAGTCCCAAGCCGGATTCATTCAGACCAGGGGCGTAGTTTTGAAAGTGCCTTGCTCCACCAACTATGCAACCTCTATGGTGTTGAGAAATCTAGGACTACCCCATACCACCCTGCTGGTAATGGCCAATGCGAGCGGTTCAACCGCACGCTCCACAACCTTCTTCGCACCCTCCCGTTCTCTCGGAAACAGGACTGGGCTTCTTGTCTTCCTCAATTGTTATACTCTTATAACACTACCCCACATCAGAGTACTGGTGAGTCACCATTCCTCTTAATGTTTGGCCGTGAGCCGAAACTCCCCATTGATTTCCTCTTGGGCGGAGTTAAAGAACCCATTGCAGGAACTGTGCAGGACTGGATGTTAGAGCACTGCTCCAAACTTCAGGTGGCCTTTGCTGGGGCAGAAGCAAGGCTGGCCTTGAAAGCTGAACAACGCAAAGCGAGGCATGACATCCGGGTTAGGGAGGCACCCTTGGAGGTTGGACAGTTGGTGTATCTTAGAAATCATGGCGTAAAGGGGCGGCATAAGATCCAGGACCTTTGGCACCAGGAACTCTTTCAGGTGCTGAAGGCGCCCAATGACAACGGGCCAGTCTATACAGTCGCCCCCCTCGACAATTTGCGATTACCTCGCAATGTTCACAGGGACATGTTAAAGGCCCATTCAGGGACTGTTTCCCCACCAAAACCCCTCAGGACAGAGCCGTCCAACTCCGGATCACCTGACAGCAATTCTTCTGAGTTTGGAAACTCATGGTTCTTCTGTTCAGTGCCGGGTGACACCGAGCCTCAAAATCCAGCTGGCGTTGTGGCCAGGGTCCCTGTCCCCACTGCCGAGGGCCCCACAGTTGCAGATCAGCCAGGAGGGGCACCCGTATCGGATTGCAGTCAGCCTAGTAACCAAAGCCTGCGCCGCACTGCACGGACAACCGCGGGGCAACATTCGAATCGGCATCACCTTCCCCGTACTCGTGGTGGTGCCTCTCAAGGGTTGGTGAATGTGCAAGGGGCAGTCTTTCGGCCATGGTGTTAGGCCTTTAGCAGGAACCTTTGGCTGAATGGTCGTCGGGGCGACGACACAATAAGGGGGGAGAGAATGTGGCATGTCGGTGTGCACCGCACTGAAAGATGATTGGCTTGGACTTGTGGAGCCCATTAAAAGCAGGTGCGTGTTCGGCGCGCGCACATGAGTCTTGGCCTGGGTGCGGTGGTCGCACGTTTGGTGACCGTCAGCTTTACTTGGTTGGAGGCCGCTGGAGCGCGTGGGAGAAGCGCTTTGGCTTTTGCCGCGAGTTTGGGTGCTCCACAATCGAGGTAAGTTGCTCATTGTCCGCCTTTTCATTCTTGGCTCTCAAAGCCAAAGCTGAGCGTAAACCTGTTTGCCCCAGACCCTGAGCTGCAGCTGGGACAAGTCTGGTATTCAAACCGGCTCTCTCCCTCCTCCCACTGGCCGTGAGTGCGTGCCTTTCACTGGCAGGTAAGCTAAAAAAAAACTACAGTCTAGTTATTAATTACAATGTTAAGATTTGTGCCTGTCCTTCAGGCTCTCTCCACGTGTGGTCTATACCAGGGCTACCACTCTGAAAGGCAGCCGCTGTTCTGTCCACCTCTGTCTCGCATGTCTCTGGAGACGCTGGAGCGCGCTCACGTGTGGCCTCCTGGCTCGGATCACACCGCTACAGCGTGCACGAGCGCTGGAGTGCTCTAGTTTAAAGGGCATGTCCTGTGGCACCCGGACCTTTGTTAATAATCTTTCTTTTTGTTTATTTAGGTTATTCTGAGTGGTTTGGTGAGTTTATCTTGATTTGGTGTTGATTTATTTTGCCTTTGCATGCTTTTTGCTTGGCTTTTTCTTTTGTTTGCTTTATTTGCATGGCTTGCAGTTTGTTTTCTTTTATTTGCATGACTTGTTTCATTTACATTGCTATTTGTTTCTTTTTGTCCTTGTGTCCTGAGTTGCCACCATTTTAAGAAATACATTTTAACAATTTTTCCATTAAAGGCCTATTTGATGTATTTAACTTATAATTGTGAAAATAAACTTGTGAACTGTTTTGTAAGTATAGTCTCGCGTTTCCTATGTCCACAACTTGTGCGGCCTTATTATACCAATTATTTGGGTGGTCCCTAGACCACCTGGCGTTGCTGGAACTGTTAAATCTCCCTTCTTTCACACCCTCACGTCACATAAGTAAGTAAGTAATCTTTATTTATATACCGCCTTTTCACTGCACATCGGAGTCTCAAAGCGGTTTACAATTGTTATTTTTGGGAGTGGGTGTGCCAGTACAGGAGGCACATGCCAGACCTGTTGTACATATTTTTAGTGGTAGGGAAAACCGGAGCACCCAGAGGAAACCTACGCAGACACAGGGAGAACATGCAAACTCCACTCAGAAAGGCCCTGGTCCAACCGGGATTCGAACCCAGGACCTGCTTGCTGAGAGGCGAGAGTGCTATCCACTCAGCCACTGTGCCGCCCGCAAAAGTGTACTCTGAATGCAATTTTGACCATGAGTCACGTCGTTGTAAACCAAGAAACTTGCCCCATTTGCTGTAAAAATGTAAGAGATGGCTCCAATGTGGTTGAGGTTCAACAGAAGGTAGCTGATGGAATCAACGATGCAGACAAGAGGCGACAACGTACACATTTCCGCTGGTGAAATAGTACACTCAAAACGTTGACAGAAGTACATAAATAAGAAAGACATTAAAATCTAACAAGAGAATAAAGCTGAGCCACCAAAAAGAAGTACCAGAGTAGCAACTGGTCCTTTCAACAGCCAAACCGATTGTCTTTTCTGTGGGACTACGTTAACACATGTAAGTAAAGACACAAGTAGTGTTAAGACTGATACGCTCCCAGAGTCCATTCTTGAGTGTTGTGACAATCGTGCCGATCAATGGGCTTTCACTGTGAAAGGCAGGATTGAATATTATGGCCATGATCTACATGCTGCAGACTGTGTTTACCACCACTTATGCAGTAGTAGTTTTCGTAACGGATACAACATCCCCGTACAGTTCCAGACAAACCCAGGGGCAAAGCGCAGAAAGTCTGGTCGGCCCAAAAATGAAGATCAGGAGCAGGCATTCATGAAAGTTTGCTCCTACCTTGAGAGTAATGATGAGGAACAGTTGACAATTTCACATCTTCGAGAGAAAATGCAGGAATCTCTAACAAACCCAGATTCTGATCCATATGGAAATCAATACCTCAAGATTAAATTGAGAGAACAGTACCAGGACAATGTACATTTCACTTAAGGGAAAGGCCTCCATGACATAGTGACAATGAGAGAGAAGACATCACAAATACTACGACCTTATTTTAGTGAACAAGAAAAAAAATGAGGAATCCCAGAAAAAAGCGATCATTCAAACAGCTGCGCGATTGATCAAAAGTGATATCAAGTCCAATGTCCTCTCCTATACGGATCAGTATCCAACCACAAAGTTTGTTCCTGAGACTCTCCGTACACTTTTGAATGGTCTATTTGTGGGTAAGGAGACAAGCCGAAAGGTTGCAGGAATTGGACAGGCAATTGTTCAGGCAATTGTTCAGGCAGTAAGACCACGTGCTGTGGTAGTTCCATTACAACTTGGCCTTGCAGTGCAGGCACATCATATGTATCGGTCACAATTCCTGGTGGACACCCTTCATGGAATGGGATTTGCTTCATCATACAAGGAAGTTTTGCGTTTTGAAAGGAATGCAGCAGATTCAGTTGCCCCAGATATGTTAGCAGACAGCATAGATGTGCTGCACATGGCACTTCTTTTTGCTGGGGACAATGTTGACCACAACATCCTTACTATTGATGGTAAGGGGACCTTCCACGGAATGGGAATAATAGCAGCAATCACTCCAGGGCAAAAACAGGACCGTATCATTCCAAGGAGACAAATTACCAACATAGATTTTGCAGTGCAAAGTAAAATCCCAGTCATCGAATATCTTTTTGCGAAACATGTGCGCCAAACCATTGTGTTCAACAACCTCCCAGCAGTGATCAACTATGACAAAACAATAGATGTCCTGTGGGAGCTCTCACTGAACTTCAAACAAGAAACCCAGGGTGGCAGGGAAGGATGCATACCATTCATCAAGGACTAGAACATCCAGGCCAATCCTCAGTTGTGTTCCTGCCAATGATTGACCTGTACTCTGGAGACAAAACGTGTATTTTTTCCACCTTGAGTTTTGTTTGTGACCTGGCTACCAAACACAATGCACCACCCATGATCACCTTTGATCAGCCACTGTACTGGAAAGCAGCAGAGATCATTGTGGATGCACCACAAAGTAGTCCCCTGAAAAGCATAGTCTTAATGCTTGGAGGTTTTCATACTTTTATGAACCTACTTGGTGCAATAGGCACTCTGATGGAAGGCACAGGACTCAGGAAAATTCTGGAAGTTGTCTATGGATCAAATGCCATCCAGCACATGATGACTGGAAAATCAGTGCAAAGAGCTTTTTGTGGACATTTGCTGGTGGACAGATGTCTCAATCACCTGGTTGTGTCAGAGCTGCAGGAGGATGACCCACAGTTTGAGTCCTTGTTGAACCAAGCTGGAGATATGTACTCATCCCTGGTAACAAAAGTAACAACTTTGGAGAGTGCTGCAGCATCAGATATGCTGAACCAAATCATGGAACAGATCGACACAAAGAGGACAAACCTTAGCACAAGGTCAAAAACCAGCCGGCTGTGGGTAAACTATCAGATGATGCTGCAGACAGCCCCAGCTCTGATCAAAGCAGATCGTACAGGATCTTGGAAGATGCACTTGCGAGCAATGTTAGACTGTCTGCCAATATTTTCTGCCGCTGGGCACTACAACTACCTGAAATCGGCAGGTAGTTGTAGTGCCCAAGAAATGTGCCAACTCGAGACCAGACACCCTGATGTACATGACAAGTTTTCCAGGGGTTTTCATGTGATCCGACGCAGCAACCAGTACTGGGCAGGTTTTAGCTCTGACCTTATCATCGAGCAGACATTGATGCGATCCTTGAAAGGCAGTGGAGGCTTGACCCATGGAAGTGGAATGACTGAAGAAATGAGAGCATTGTGGACCATGTCTACACCCATCACATCTGAATACAACTGTGCCATGCAGGAATTCAATGAGCTCACCTACACGGCCAGCAAGCAGCACCGAGAATCGTCAGAAGCAAGGATGAAAATAGATCATTCAGATTTAAAAAAGATCAAGGAAAACCTTAGCATTTGCACACCATTCTCTCCAGACCCATCTCTGAGAAACATTGTAACTGGTGTTGTTGCCAAAAAAGAGGTAAATGTCCATGAGTTTAAGACGGTTGGCAATGAGATCATTGAAAAGATGATTGGAAAACCTATTTTTGGAATATCTTTCAAACGGAAAGACCGGGTAAAAATCCTTGCAGATGACTCCACCATCAAAGTTGCCCAAGACCAATTCATTGATCCTGCTTTGCTGTTCCAACGGTTCTTGATTTTGTCGAAAACTGGACAGTTCTCCCTGGAAGATGTAATGAGCTATGAGCTCTGCTCATTTCCAGCAGCCCTGTTTGAATGCAAGGACATTTTCCATAAAGCCAACAAGCCCCAACTAGCGCAGGCAGTCTCTGAGTTCTCAATCAAGAAATGTAAAGAAACTGTCCTGGATTCTATCCCACCAACTAAGCATTATGTCCTTGACGGTGGCTCCCTGGTTCACCGCTTGCCATGGAAAAAGGGTGACAGTTACGGTGCCATTGCACAGTCATATGCAGACTTTACCATACGCCATTATGGCAAAGCAACACTTGTTTTTGATGGTTATGGTGAAGGTCCTTCCATCAAAGACAATACACATCAGAGACGTGGTGAAAACAATCACCCTATTGTTAACTTCAATGCAGAGACAGTTTGTGGGAAGAAAGGATGATTTCCTTTCCAGGTCTTGCAACAAACAAGGACTTATCAATCTTATGACTGAAGAGCTGGAGAAGAAGGGCTGCAGTGTTATCAATGCATCAGGTGATGCAGACGTGGACATTGTCAAAGCTGCAATCAAGACCTCAGAACATCAGCCCACAACCTTGATAGGGGAGGATACAGACTTACTCATTCTTCTCCTCTATACTATGCTGGGACGAACAATAGAGGCCTCTATTTTCGGTCAGACAAGTCCAAAGCTACTAAAGTGTACAACATCAGTGAGATGAAACAAGTCCTGGGCTCCCAGTTGCTGTTTATCCATGCCTTCACAGGATGCGATACAACTTCACGTATCTTTAGTGTTGGCAAACAGACAGTATTCCAGAAACTTGTGAATGGTGACTCAACCATTCAGTCCTGTGCAAATGTGTTTCTGTCCTCACATCAAGCAAGGAATGTCATAGAGGACCATGGGACTAAGGCAATGGCAGTGTTCTTTGGCGGAAAGAGTACCGACTCACTTGCCTCTTTGCGCTACAACCTTTCTAGCAAGAAAATTGTTACCACCAGATCATTTGTTACCCCAGAACGTCTGCCTCCAACTGAGTCCTCATCCAAATACCACTGCCAAAGAGTTTACCTCCAGATCATGGTGTGGATTGGAAAGGAAGATGACATGAACCCAGTGGATTGGGGATGGAAACTGGTGGAAAACCGGTTCCTGCCAGTTATGACCAGTAAGGCTGCTGCCCCAGAAAGCCTCCTGCAGATGATCCACTGTAATTGCACAACTGCATGGCGAACACAACGGTGCAGTTGCAGGGCATATGGACTACCATGCGTGCCTGCTTGTGGAAAGTTGGGAATTGTGAGAATCACTATAATCATCCTCAATGGGAGGAAGAGTTCGACGACTAATGGTGTCTCTAATGATGGTCACAGCGTAAAAAAGTATAACAAATAAACCAGAATAAGAAGAAACAACTGAAATAAATAGAAAAAAGATGTATACATGAGAAAATAATACAAAAAATCAATATAAAAAACAAAAGGCAAAAAACAAAACAAAACAGATTATAAAATATATTCAAAAGAATAGATATAAAAATAAACACAAAAAAACACAAGGGGCTAGCGGTACTGAGCCTTCACGCGGCAGCCCTGTTTTGACTAATTTTACAGTACCACACAGTTCTAATGAATTTATTTTTTATTGGAATCAAAATAATGATAATGAGCCACAGAAACCACCAACACTAAGAAAACAATATGAAAAAGGAAAAATATGGGATTACTTAAGGGAAATTGTACTTCTTTTTTGCATACATATGCTTTTAACCAATTGCTTTAATATATAATTGTACTTATAATCACTTATTTTCCATGCAAATATACTAATTAGAATATGTTATGACTAAAACAGGAATCAGACACCGGTATTCCTGGTCTAAGAAAAATACATAGGAGTAATGGTCATTTTAAGGACCTGATGGCCGCCATTTTGAAAATGAGGCCTTTCTTGGAGTCAAAGTTTGGTAAACTTATGGTGCTTTCAGACCGGGACAGTCGTTGCGTCTGCATTCAATGCAAAGTCAATAGGGAGGCGCGTTTGAGCGTTGCATTGCACGGACCTCTCGGCACACACGCACGGACCGCCCAGTAGAAACGCACGGACTTGGCGGGAAAGTCAAAGGGGAGGAGAAGGAGCGGAAAATGAACGCACACAGGAGATGGATTCCGCTCAACTTTTCCTCGAGACGTTCGTGCAGCGACCAATCAGAGAGCACGCACACCACTGACGTAATCACGCCACTACACGGCGTATGTTTTCCCCATTGAGAGCCAGGAACCGGTCATTTAAACATGGAGGATCAAGCGGTGGATAGTCTCATTGTCGCTGTTACAAACTTTCCAGAGTTGTGGAAAGTCTGCATTCCGGAATATAGCGACAGAGCAAAGAAAGATTCGGCATGGAAGGCCATTGCGCAGCAGCTCAACCTCCCTGGTAAGTTTTTTCAGTATCAGTGTAGTGAGGTGGGCGTGCTTGTGTTCGTGCGTCGTTTGGCAGTGTGCAAGCCTCTGCGTCTGAAAACTAGAGAATGCGCGTCTGGTGAGCTGGGCTGCTGCGTTTCAGCGTTTTCGGTCTGAAAGCACCATTAGAGTATGTTTTTAAGTACATCTGATACTATTAGAAACCACTGAAAAACCTTTTGTTAGAATTTTTTTGGGGTCAAACCATAAATGCAGCTGACTATATACCTGTGCTGGTGGAAGCAGTGGTGGTTGTACCGAGAGTAGCATTTGTCCCTGTGGTCGAGTTTGTGGTTTCCGTGAGTGGATCTTTCTGTGCTTTCATGTGAAGGCCGACTGTGTGAAGAAAAAAGATTTGCAGCAAAAATAATAATGCTTTGTTTTTTATGTAATGCTTTTCAGGACTCTCAAAGACACTTCACATGTCATTGTTCATTCACTCCATACACTGTGGTGATAAACTACTACTGCAGCCACAGCTGCCCTGGGGCACACTGACAGAAGCAAGGAAACCAGTCTGTGCCATTGGCCCCTCTGATCACCTCCAACTATTCACAAACACACCAGACTCATTCTAATGTGCTCTACCAACTGAGCCACTGTCGCCCCAGAACAGCAGTAGTAGTAGTAAGTAGTAGCAGTAGTAGTAGTAGCAGTAGTAGTAGTAGTAGTAGTAATAGCAGTAGTAGTAGTAGTAATAGTAGTAGCAGTAGCAGTAGTACTAGCAGTAGCAGTAGTAGTAGCAGTAGTAGTAGTAGCAGTAGTAGTAGTAGTCAGTAGCAGGAGCAGTAGCAGCAGTAGTAGTAGATAGCAGTAGCAGTAGTAGTAGCAGTAGTAGTAGTAGTAGTAGTAGTAGTAGCAGTAGTAGTAATAGTAGTAGTAGTAGCAGTAGTAGCAGCAGCAGTAGTAGTAGTAGTAGTAGTAGCAGTAGCAGTAGCAGGAGCAGTAGTAGTAGTAGTAGTAACTCACGGATGACTCCTGTGACAATCGCAGCCAGAAACAGCAGCATGAGCAGCAGCAGAACCACAGAGAGCTTCCATCTTCTCTGTGGACTTTCTTCAGACTCAAACTCTGCTAAAACACACTTCCCATCATCACAACTGTAACATCATGTACTCGAGTAAATACTACTTCCACTAATACTTCTAATAATACTGCTAAGAGGAAAAACTGCTCACCTTTCTGTTCTGTTTCCCATGTTTTTCGAGGAACATTTTCATACACTAGTTCTGTCGCTGAAGGAAATGTCAGTGTTGCAATGTCAGTTACAAGACGGTAGGAATGAGGAGCACAAAGCACAAGAGACATGAAGAACGCTATGCTAAAAAAAAAAACTAAATTTAGCATCATATAGAAGCAAGTCTGTGTATTCAATTGCAAGAAAGAAGTAGCTGCTATGCTTCTTAGCTAGCTGTAAATGCTTCTATATCAATATCTCCATAGTAGCAGTAGCAGTAGTAGTAGCAGTAGTAGTAGTAGTAACAGTAGTAGTGGTAGTAGTAGTAGTAGTAGTAGTAGTGTAGGAGCAGTAGCAGTTGTAGCAGCTCGTCAGAGACTGCTTTTATCATCACAGAAACATATCTAAAATTCAAAGCATATTGTCACAAAAGGACTTGGAGATGATCATTCATGCCTTTGTTTCCACACGTCTCGACTACTGCAACTCATTGTTTACATGTCTTGATAAGAGCGCTCTTAACAGACTACAATTTGTGCAAAACTCCGCTGCCAGACTTTTAACTGGTCTCACATCACCCCGGTCCAGTCCTCACTTCATTGGCTCCCAATTAAATTACGTACTAATTTTAAAATTTAGTTTTAACTTTCAGAGCCTTAAATGGTCAGGCTCCATCTTATATCTCGGACCTCATGATCCCATACTGTTCTGGCCGCATTCTTAGGTCCGCAGGCCAGAATTTACTTACGGACCCAAAGACCCGCTATAAGACCCAGACTGTGGAACGCTTTGCCTCTGTCTCTCCGTGTGGCCAACTCTACCGATGCTTTTAAAAAGGGACTAAAGACACTTCTTTTTAGGGCAGCTTTTTTTCTTGTTTTTATGTTATTATTTTCTACCTTTTCTTATTTCTATTGTATATACATACTGTATCTGCTTTTACCATTTACAGCACTTAGTGATTTTTATCTGTGAAAGGTTCTCTTTAAATAAAATTTACATACTTACTTACTAGTGGTAGTAGTAGTTGTAGTAGTAGTTTTCGAGTAGTAGTAGTAGTCGTAGTAGTAGTTTTTGAGTAGTAGTAGTCGTAGTAGTAGCAGTAGTAATAGTAGTAGTAGTTGTAGAGTAGTAGTAGCAGTAGTAGCAGTAGTAATAGTAGTGAGTAGTAGAGCAGCAGTAGTAGCAGTAGTAGTATATGCTTCAATAAATAGTAGTAGAGTAGTAGTAGTAGTAGTAGTAGTAGTAGTTGTAGAGTAGAGTATAGTAGTAGCAGTAGTAATAGTAGTAGCAGTAGTAGCAGTAGTAGTATAGTAGTAGTAGTAGCAGTAGTAGTAGCAGTAGTAGTAGCAGTAGTAGTAGTAGCCGTAGTAGTACAGTAGTAGTAGCAGTAGTAGTAGTAGTAGTAAGCAGTAGCAGTAGTAGTAGTAGCAGTAGCAGTAAAAGTAGTAAGCAGTAGTAGTAATGTAGTAGTATAGCAGTAGCGAGTAGCAGTAGTAGTAGTAGTAGCAGTAGCAGTAGTAGTAGTAGCAGTAGCAGTAGTACATGTAGTAGCAGTAGTAGTAGTACCGGGGTTGCAGGGCTGCTCTGGCCACAAAACCTCTGGGAAGCCCCTTGTTCAGTTTTTTTTTTTACTAAGGCCTCAGGAAAAAAGCTAAGTTCAGAATTGAAAAATCTGTGTGTTTGGATGGTGTGTGTTTGTCCTGTTTGTGTGTCAGGGGTTTTTTTACTAGCCTCAGAAAAAAAAACCTAGTTCAGATTGAAACTGTGTGGCCCCCGTCCTCGCTTGGAAAGGTCTTAAAAGCCACTATTAAGAGAAGGGAAAAAAATTGGACCCGTGGGGTGTTTAGGGACCCACGTAAATTCATTAAAAATGTTCAGGCACAAGACAGGGGGGGGGAAAATAGTTCTAAAACCAGGGAGGTTTGTTATAATGTGGTTTAATTGAACGGGGGTCAAGATCCAATCTCGTTCTAAATCGGCTTTCTTTTAAAATCAAAACCTTATTATAGGACAAAAACGGGGCTTGGAATTGTTTTTGCGGCTCTCGGGAGGGGGGGGGGGGGGACTTTTGGCTTCCAAAAAAAAGGACGACTACGTTAGATTGGAAATTGGGAGTGCACTCCCTCCGATAACGGCATGGTTAAAACTACCAGGAAAGTGAGACTACAGGTCGCGGGAGGTGGTGTTTTTGGCGTTTTCTTTCCAACCCACACCAACTTTGTTTCTTAGTCCCCAAAACCAACCCAATTTGCTTTATTCAAATCGTTTTGTATATAAAAAACTCTAACACTTTCAAATTCAACCTGGTTCTGGTGGGAGGGAAAAAAACAAAAAAAGGGTGCTTATTTTATTTTGTTTTATTATTTTTTACCGGAACCTCATGGGGTTTCCTTTACAAGCGGAATTCCTAAACAGAATTTCTCTGGGACTTTCATTTCAAAAAAAACCTAGTTTTTTGGGGGAATGGGGAAAAAAAAAACAAGTTATAACTGGGAGGACTTCAATATACATGTGGACGGAACCGGGCCCACCTGACGGGATTAAAAACAAAAAAGGGCTTTCAGGGCGCCGTTACTAGATGGTTTTGGTTTTACTCAAGGAAAAATGTTTGAGGAACCCTATTCAAAGTCAAATTAAAACCACACCTTGGGACCTTGTCCGGACCTACGGCTTGTGATGTTCCTTCCATGTTGGTAACCAATCAGCGTTTTTTACACCCTCACGTCACACACGTATATATTGCACACGTATACTAGAGTATACTGGTTTAGGCTTTGATTCTTTATGAAGCTAAAGATAATCATGTTTTAAGTGTAGAGTTGTGCTATACTTGATATTATCTTGTGTTGTCTGCTCCTCGTTCTACTGTTGTATTACTTGTGTTGCAACATTGACATTTCCCTATCCTAGGACGAATACAGGATCTCTTCATCGTCATCCTCATCTGATTACACACCTGGACTTTGAATATTAATTGCCACTAACACAAAGTAGTTTAAGATCTTAAGACGAGTTAAGAGTGCACATACTGAACAGAACCTCTAAAATTCAGCCACTGACTTTATTTGTATTTACTCACATCTAAATGACATGTTTGACATTAATAAAATTTTGATTCTGTAAAATGATCATAACGTACACTTTGGTAAAGCAGCTCCAGGGCTTCCTCGAGGTTGCGACTGAATCGTCTCGCTGTGAGGTTGTACTGAGACACAGAACAACACAATAATAACTAAAACAGATTCCGATTTGCTGTTTTGTGGAGTTTATGTGTTTGAAGGACTTACTTGGTCAAGGCAGTAGTTGCAAAGATCCATTTCTCCCACAAAGACCGTGACCAGCTTCCAGTCTTGTTCAAAGTTGACTTCCTGTGGTTGAATATTATGAACACCTGAATGTGGAGCTGAAAGTGCTCGGGAGACATACCTTGTTCTTTTTGAGGGCTGTGATCAGAGCTTCTGCCTGTGCTCGGATGTCTCTGTAATAGAAAAGTGTTCAGGGTCAAACGCTCTGATGGTGTGTGAATGTTAGCGGCACGTACGCAGACTTGGCTCCTGGTTCAGCCATGTTGAAGCCCTTCCTCAAGGCCAGCTGACCCAGAGAGAAGCCCAAGAGCTTTTGGTTGAACTTCTTTAAAATGTCTAGAAATAAGAAGTAGAAACAAACATCTATTCAAAGTGAGGTTAATTGTAGTAATTTGTTGGTTTTATACACCAATATAATTATTCTTTCACTCCAAACTCAGTGATGACAAACTACTACTGTAGCCACAGCTGCCCTGAGAAGAGGCAATCAGTATGTGCCATCCGCTCCTCCCACTACCACCAACCATTAACACACACACCAGACTCCCACTGTGGCCCTGTCCTGTGCTTACCTTCACAGGTCTCCCATCAAAGCACGAACCAGGCCCTGCCCTGCTTAGCTTCACAGTATTAACCAGGCCCTGCTTAACTTCTGACAGGATCTGGCTTTCAATTACAATAAGGCGACCATTGCACCTGAGAGAGGTCCTGCAGGATGGGTCAAATATCCTGCAGTTCCTTGAGTCACTATTTGACCCTTTGGGCTGAGGAAGTAACATGGATCACCCTCGCTTTAAGTACTTCTTGGGTGGTGCCATCTGCAGGTTAAAGCCAGAGCCCGTCAGACCTGTGAAGCTCAGCCGATGTTTACGGACTTTGACTTGAGTTGACGAGTTTAAAAGATTCCTGCTGTCGAGTCGTTTTCATTTGGGACAAAAAAGAACTTCTGTTTTGAACGTACTTGGTATTGTGGTCACCGTCTCCAAACTCGCATCTCCTCCAATGCTGTGAAGACAAATCATAGAGAGTTGCGTGTGTGTATGTGTGTGCGCGCGCGTGTGTGTGTGTGTTTCTGTTACCTCCATGCCACTCCTCTGTACCGTTTGCTCAGGTCAAACAAGTTCTTGGCTTTTGCTGCTACTCCAGCCTGAAAGGAGAAAGAATACGTGTGTGTGTGTGTGTTTGTGTGTGTTTGTGAGTGTGTAGGATTGTGCAAGGTGAAAAGCTTTCTTGTCAGGAAGCAGGGGTGATGAGCATGGGCGGGTCAAACCGGCACTTATCTTTGTATTCTCTCTCTCCACGATAAGATTTAGAGGTGATTTATAGCCCTGTTTCCACCAACCCTATTTTACCCTACTCTACTCGAAAATAGTAATAGTAGCAGTAAGTAATCTTTATTTATATAGCGCCTTTCACAGACCAGAGTCACAAAGCGGTTTACAATTGTGGGCATTTGTCTCTCACTCCACACAGAGATGGGAGCGGGGTCGCCAGTACAGGAGGCACATGCCAGACCTGTTACGCAGACACGGGGAGAACATGCAGACTCCACTCTGAAAGGCCCTGTTCCAACCGGGATACGAACCCAAGTGTTGCTAAGATACAATTACTGATACTAAAGTATAAAGTATATTGGAAAAACAACCAGGTCTCGTAGGTCTAGAGTTGAGTAGGGTAGAGTAGTGGGCTGATAGAGACAAGGCTTAAGTCCCATTCATATTTTTTAGAAAACATTTGCTAATTCATAATGTGGCACATTTGATTTTAGGGAAATGATTACAGCAATAAAATAGCTATAAATCTTTGTGGATGTTTTAACAGTAATAAAGGTTCCTCTTACAGTAGCTGCGTCCCCGAGTGCAGCCACCACAGTGATGTCTGCTGGTCTGAGTCGATGAACTGGGAATAAAACAGTGACAGATGTTAGAAACATGAAGGCACAAAAAGCATTATCATTATACTATCATTATTTAGAATAATAGTCTTCTTAAGAGAGAAAACTAATTGTTATATTGTAAATGGATTCTCAATAACACTGTACTGTAATCATCACGTGTCCAGGACGACGAGGGAAAGTCATATTTTTGCTAAAACCTGCATGTTTATTGTGCGTTGTCCATAATCAAACTTACACCATCAACTGAAAATGGCATGTTTGTTACAGTGACGTGGCATTGACAGTCGTAAAGTCCATGCATGTGTGTTTGTGCGCGTGTGTTTGTGTGCGTGTGTCTCACCAGATGTAGGGATATGGTCTGATGGAGCGAGGTCCACACACGACAAGAAGAGAAATATGAGATGAAAAAAGCCCATGATTTTACAACACAGAAACATCCTTCAAAAACATCAAACAGAACAGAGCTGGATGATGTCTGCTTCTATTTCTTGTTTTCACAAGCATGTGTTTTTTGCCTCTGTCACATCTTTACATTGGCTTTTTTCAGACATTGAATAACAGAGGACCAGCCTCAGTCAATCAGTTCTCGGCCCAAAGAAAGAGTGATTCACAAGGCTAACTGGGCATGTATGCAAAACATTACATGTTTTCTAAAGCTTCATTGCAGTATGTTATGCACTTTATAGCCGCAGCTATCCCACTGTAGCACCTGGTGTTTCCAAAGATCTCCCATCATAGTGCTAACCCGGCCCTCCCCTGCTTAGCTTCAGAGGTCCATTCTCCAAATTCCCCCAATCATGATCTCCAGTCTGTGCTGTGATCTTAACAGAATCAATGAGCCTAAGTCCTGAGTCTAAAGCAGGCATGTCAGACACTGGCTTGTGGGCCGAATCTGGCCCGCAAGACAATATTAAATGGCCCCTAAAATTATTATTCTTATTAGCTTCCCAGCATTTATGGTTATTGGCTACCAAGGTACAGTATGCTATTTTATTCTAAAATGTTTACTCAACAGATGATATAAAACAAACTACAGCCTGAGTCCTTTATCTACAACCTCAGTCCTGGATCTACAGCCTCAGTCCTGGATCTACACCCTCAGTCCTGGATCTACACCCTCAGTCCTGGATCTACAGCTTGTCTGTCAATGGGAGCAGATCATTCTCTCAATTTGGGCCACCCTGAGGTATTTCACTTTTGTCACTTTTTCACATTTCTGGACAGTGGTCCCTATAGACCATTGGCTCCTATGTGTTTGTTATTATTGTATTTTCTGTGTTCAAATTGTTTGATTCTCTGATCTGTTGCTGTGGAATCCACGACTTTGTAAAGTCCTCCAAGACAACTGCTGCTGTGATTGAGGGCTATACACAATTAAGCAAAATCAAATTAATTTCAATAGTTTTATTTTTGTTATTATCCTGAACAATGCAAGTCACGGTCATACACTGGGTCTCACAATGTTGAGTCAGAGTCGACTGATAAGGGGTTTATTGCTGTTTCCTGTCACACCGCCTCTGGAAAACACACTACACCTTGAACTTGTGAGCTTTTGTTATTGCTCATATAAAACACTGTTACAGGACAAATCCTTAACTACAATTGTAATTGTAATTGTTGTAAATTGTTTCAAGTGGTTTACTGCATGAAATTCACTTTTACAACAGAATCAGTTCAAATACATAGAATCACAGTTGTTGAGAGCAAGAATGTAATTCATGATGTTTCTGGCCTGTTTTGTGCGTTTCAAGTTACCTACAATTACCTCAAGGCTCGACTACTCTAACGCTTTATTGGCAGCGTACCCTAAAGCCTCTTTGAAGAGCTTCCAGCTCGTTCAGAATACAGCAGCTAGGATCTTAACAGGTACCAAAAGGAGGGAGCACATAACTCCGGTGTTAAAATCACTCCACTGGCTCCCTGTGGAGTACAGAATAAAGTTTAAAATCCTTCTCTTAACATATAAAGCCATAAATGGCTTGGCTCCTTCCTATCTCCAAGACACGTTAGTGTCGTATCAACCAAGTCGAGCGTTGCGCTCACAAAACGCCAGACGTCTGGTAGTCCCTAAGGTCTCAAAAATCACTGTTGGCGGCAGAGCATTTAGCTACCAAGCTCCTTTACTGTGGAATCAGCTTCCCATTTATGTTAAGGAAGCAGATACGGTCTCCACATTCAAGGCCAGGCTTAAAGCACTCTACTTTAATTTAGCATATAATTAGGTAATATATAATATATGGTGTATATGTTATATATAGAGCAGCCGTCCTCCTGTGGACTCTCCACCTGCAGAGGGTCAGTGAGGGGCTGGTGCTATGAGACTTGGGTGGCATCTCTGATTGCCACCCCCCTGACCCAGAAATGGATTAAAGGGTAGAAAATGGATGGATGGATGGATGTTATATATATATGCTGTATTATGTTATATATTATGTTATATATTATACAATAATGTATTGTGTTATGTTGTATATTATGTTATATATTATGCTGTATGTTATGTTATGTATTATATATGATATATATGGTATGTATGGTATATATGATATATATAATATATAATTAGGTTTGCCTGGATCGGTTTGCACACCTGGTGTGCAATCCATGAATCTTGGTGCTGTAGCCTAGGCTAGCCTAGCCGTGGCTGCTGCTGTCTCACCTCCTTTCAGATACGCTCTCTTTATTCAAGGCTAGGTTTAAAACAGTCCTCTTTAGTTTAGCATATGGCTAGGAAGGTAAGACTCAGGGAAGGCTAAACTCCTCAGACTGTCAGTCAAGCTTACTACTTTATCCTACTTTATCTGTTTACAGTCAAAATCCTAATAATGCTAGTTTGTTCATTGCTATTCACCCGTTGTCCCATTGTCTGTTTCATGGTACGATGACGGGATCTCTGAGCCTGGCCTCCTCCATCTACACCTGCGGACTGCCCCGCTCGACCCGCCTGGGAGTGCTTCAGTCCTGCACCGGACCTGTCCACGTTCAGCGGCCACTGGTCCACGTTCTGTAACTAGCTTAGGTCCTGGATCATTAGCCTGTCCGTCCGGAGGAGCGGATCCCTTTCTCAAATGGATCCCCCTCCCTGTGGGTTTCCCTAGTTCTCCCCAAGGTTTCTCACTTTTTCCCACTGGGTTTTTTAAGAGTTTTTCCTTGTCGATGCAGGAGGGTCTTGTTGGACAGTTAGTGTCCAACAGAAAGGATTGGTAATGATCAGGACACTTTAGCATTTTCTTCTGTGTGTGATTTATATTCTTCATGTGTTAACTGTTGATTCTCTGATCTGTGTTTGTGATTTCAATGGTTTTGTTAAGTCCTCTGAGATTACTTCTGTTGTGACCTAGGGCTATACAAGAATAAATTGTAAATGTAAATTGTACAATTGCAATACTGTTAAAATAAAAGATCATCTTGTGTCTACGTGATCCAGTTGGAGGCTGAGAAAAAACCCTGTTTCCACCAGCCCTACTCTCCTCTCATTCTCCTCTCCTCTCATTCCTCTCCTCTACTCTACTATACTATACTATACTATACTCTACCCTAACCTGCTCTCCCTGGATTGGGAGTGTTTCCGCTGGCTCTGTTTGACCTGTACCAGGTCCTTCTTTAGTCCGTCTTGACCCTGGTTCTATTCATTCCGAGCTGGTACTAAAGGGTTCTAACTGACAAAGATTCGCAAGAGTGTTGCTGGAAGCCATGGGTAACAAGGAATTTCCCCGGACACTGGTTGGTTAAGTTGCCAGGATAAGGTATCATATGAAAAGGTGTTGGAGCTGAGGATTTAGTATTTATACTTTTGCATACCACCTCTTCAATTTGTCTATTATTGGAAAAAACAACAGAATCATACCTCTTTTTTTTCCTTCACAGTTGGAACTTAATTAAAGTCAAAATAAAATATTTTTGTTTATGTTTGTAAAAAAAAAAAAAAGTGTACAAATATACTAATAACTGTTCTGTCGCAAACCGGATTAAACAGCAGTTATCTGCCAAACCATGCCTTTATACAACACGTGAGTGATTATTCTAATAGAAAATCATTTGAACGGGGGAAAAAAGGACTATTTGACAATTACTATTTTATTGACCTTTTTTAACAAGAGAGTCCCACTGAGATTTTAGGATCTCTCTTTACGGGGAGTCCTGGCCCCAGAGAGATAGAGACCAGAGAAAGGGACCAGGGAGGCACAGGGAGTGGGGTGTTACAGGGCTATAGTATAAGTTTCTAAGGAGTAGGGAAACCACAGAAAACCTTTGCAGACACAGGGAGAACTGCTCTGTGGTAGATATTGTTCAAATATATATTTTAAATGCAATGGATTTGATGGAAAACCAGCTCCAGTTAATAATAAAAATAATAAGACGCTTTACATGTCATTATTCTTTCACTCCATACACGGTGGTGATAAACTACTACTGTAGCCACAGCTGCCCTGGGGCACACTGACAGATGTCAATGTATTGGTTTTAGTTCTATAAATAATCGGGTTATGGCATAGTTGACAATACATTTGCACTCATGCAGTTACAATACATTTCATTAAAACAAACCATACAAAACATACATGAATAACCTATTGTTATATTGTGAAAAAACGCAGCTAATTAAAACAATATTAATAATACTGCATTGGTTTTATTCAGCAGTTTCTGGACACTCACAGACACTTCAATGCATTGTTCATTCACTCAAAACAAGGTGGCGATAAACAACTACTGTAGCCACAGTTGCCCCAGGGCACACTAACAGAGGCCATGCAACCAGTGCCATCAGCCCCTCCCACCACCATCAACCATTCACATTCACATACACAGACACACCAGACTCATTCTAATGTGAGGGAAGTGTCTTGCCTAAGGACACAACATAGATAATAATGAGTCATACAACATAAAATACTCACATTACAAAACAATAATTTGTTATAAAACACAGTTGATTTCAGCGACATCAATAGTATTTCTGAGGAAGAGACGCTGTACTGTTCTGTACAGTAAGTATCTCTTAGCACAAATATAATACATATATTTATCTAAAAAAGTACCTCTCCTTAAAATAACTATGACTAGTCAGATTTAGTGGAGGAGAATAATTAAAGCAACAACTTTAGGCTTGAGCAGCTGTCCTCCGTCCCGCTGGTCTGTGAGGAAGGGGATGAAGCGGTCTATGAGCGCGGGGCTGCCGTGGACGGTGACGTCCCAAACGGGTGGTCCGAAAACGTACAAATCTCTGAATAATGATGAATATGGTGAAGCCGCTCACAAGTTATACATGAAGTATCTCTATTTGATGTTACAATAAACACCTAAGATAAGATACGCCACATTTCCACCAGCTCTACTTTAGAGTAGAGTAGAGTAGAGTAGAGTAGAGTAGAGTATTGTAGATTAGAGTAGAGTATTGTAGATTAGAGTAGAGTAGAGTAGAGCTGGTGGAAATGTGGCTATAACAGTGTTATCTTTATTACTTGCTTATCTCTGTCAAGGGTTGTATGAATAACTTTTGTATTTTATTTGCATTTAAAACTACAGAGGTCCCTCTGGAGTTAACCTTTCAAGAATTCTGTTTAGCAGATTTTTCAAAACAGAGAGCCTGCTACTCACACTGCGTGTGTACTCAAACAACATCATATAAGCGCGAGTCTAGCATGGGTTACCTTTATCAAAGTCAGAAGAACCCTTTTATGGCTGTTACTGGTCTCTCTCTGGTTTCCTCTGATCTATCTCAGGTTTCTCTCTGTGTCTCTCTCGGGTCTTTCTCTGTTCTCTCATTCTGTGTCTCTCTCTAAGTTCTCTCTGGTCTCTCTAGGGTTTCTCTCTCTGATGTATCAATCTCTGGTCTCTCTCTATGTGAGGTCTTTCTCACTGATCTATCTCTCTCTGGTCTGGGTTTATCTCCTTCTGGTTTCTCTCTTCCAGTTGTAAGGATTATAATGGCCACATTGGGAACAGTTATTATTTTTTTATGGCAAAAAGTGATTTCAATCTGGTTACATATTGTTTGTACATTCTATTTAAATACATTCTGTCCTTACATTGTGGTACAATTTCAGACTTATGAATAGATCCATGTGGTACTTACAGTGATGGGGCCAGTGGTCGGAGGGGGCCCTGCGTACATGTAGTCACTATTATTGTATGTTCTTAGGTACGGAGAGGCCTGGAAAGAAATCCAACGTTTTCTTATTTTTACTAATAAAATAAAAACCAAATTATATGCATTTCCTTCTCTCTTCTACCTTTGTTGGACATTTCAGAGCGACATCTGCCATGAAATCCTGTTTTGTAGTTTTATTGCCCAGAGGCTCCAGCTTTAGGGGAGAAAACGGTTAATCATACATTGAATAGAGTGTGTATGAGGCAAGTGTAATGTCGTTGTTGTACCATATTGTTCCACAGAGAGCGAGCCATCATGGTCTGTGCTTTCTGACTCAAGTGGAAGCAGTCGGGGCTGAAGAAGGAGCGGTCAGGGCGGCCGTCCTGAAAACCCAGACACAGAGAATGTTGTGAACTTCTGCTGCTCTCGAATCTGAATGCTTTATATGGACCTCTGTGTCTGAATTAAAGATACATCTATGGAAGCTTAATGCAATTCACGTAGACAAAGAGTTTATTTTTATTAGATCAAATAATGTTATAAGTGAGTTAAATCTTGCTTTTGTTACTTGGTCTCTCTTGGGTCTCTCTCTATGGTCTCTCTCTGGTCTCTCTGGTCTCTTTTGGATTAGTTATATTCTTCAAAATATAATGTGTCTTGTAAGAGGTTGTTGTGTTCAAAGTGAGGTAAAGTTTTTGTTACTTTGTTACCATTGATGACCTGTGCGTTGATAAGAAGGATTTCTTACATTCACATTCCAGAGAGGTGCAATGTTGTTTTAATAGTTTAAAAACTATTAGAAATATTGAACACAGATCTCTGCACAGACGAGGGCACTGAATATGTTTGATATTAAGTTTTTGAAAAGCCCATTATTGCCCCTTTCATTAAATGTGACGATAGCAACGTTACTGTGGTAAATGCTTGGTGTCTGACGCCCTCTGCCGGAAGCACTGAGAAGCACCGGATAAGAATTTCATAAATGAGACAAAGATTAGATTTGTTGATCACCTATTTGTATGTTTTATATTTTCAGCATGATGTGGATATCTTATTTGTCTTAAAGCTTGGGTCCATAACTTTGTGCAGTTTTTCCAAGACAGTCTATAAGATGTACTACGTGAATCAGAACACAACATGCTGACATTTTCTGTGTAAGAAACAGACTTGTGAGTCACTATTTGGCACTTTGGGCAGAGAGATCATTGGTTAAGTGGGGGTGGTCCTCTCTCTTTTTCACTTTTCTGTCTGAAAAAGCTCATCTAAAGATGTGACAGAGGCCAAAAGTACATACATGTGAGGGAGCAGAAAGAGACCAGCGAGAGACCGGAGAGAGAGACCAGAAAAAAACAAGAAAAAGAGACCAGATAGAAACTATAGAGAGACAAAAGAGAGAAACCAGAGAGAGAACAGAGAGAGACACTTCAGAGAGAGCCCAATCAGTGTAAGGCAGTCTCGCGACGTCACGTCATGGTATCGGTACGGCTCGGATGGAACCACAGTCGGGGCAGTACAAAAAAGTAACGCAAACTCGGATACTATTACCAGTGCAAATGCAAAATAACTGCACCGAAGCGTGCCGAAGCGTACCGTAACTAACGTACCGTTACTGTGGAAAAGGGGTAAAAGACACATGAGAGTGAGACCAGAAGAGAGAGACCAGAGAGACAATAGAGAGACACCCGAGAGCGACACCAGAAAGGGACCAGAAAAATCTGACCTTAGACGAGACACAAGCCAAAAATACATGGAAAGACAGGATACACTGTAAAAACGGCAACTCAAAATTGTTCACCATACTAAGATTTTTGCATTCGTTTTTACAGTGCACCGAGTTAGAGTGAGGTCAACTTATCTGCGCATGCTCATTTCAAATTTGTCATGGCAACCGGCTGCATTCAACATTTTTAATAAACTAATTTGACCAAATAAATCATTGTATTTATTTTTACCAACCGTAATCGACAGGGCCAAGCCAAAGTAGCCGTATATAGTCCCTGGGTCAGTCTTGTAGAAAGTTCTAACATTAATGAAAGGTCACTGTGCCTGAATGCAGTAATTGACAGAAACTAAGCTCTAATTGAGTTGAAAACATTATTTCTTTCCCCTACCCAAGTTACCTTGGTCTGTAAAAGCACTATATAAATACACATGAGGATGAAACGGGATGATTTAATGTGGGGGGGTAATTTAAACTCAAAAAAATAAGTTATTGCAGGAGACTGTAATCTGAACTTAAAATAGTAAGTTTTTACAGACTTGAAAGTCCCAGTAACTTGGATTACAAAAAGCTTAGCTGACACAACTTAATGATTGTAGTTCTTCATAACGTAAAGAATTAATGTGTTGCCTTCAACTCAAAAGTCACATGCAGCCAGTTGCCTTGACATTTTGAGTTGGACTAACTTTTTTGTTTTTACAGTGTAGAAGAAACCCATTTTAGAGCCAGGAACGTATTTTATAGTTAGGTCTTAAGAGCTGAGGTGATTTAGTGATTTTTAGGCTTTGACAGATGGTGTGGATTGGGAACTGTTGACGTACTGCAAGCTTTGGCACAACGATCTCTCTGAAGAACGGCTGAACCACCACTGAGAAGTCTTGGCGCGTGTCGTAACGGCCGGACTCAACCAGTTGATGTAGTGCAATCTAAAACACATACACACACAAATATATACACATTCATTGTACATTATGTGATTCTAAAGCATTTGTCTCTTTGGTGTCATGATGTAGAAACCCTTGAACCCGGCATTTTTGACCTGCACCCGTGAACTGGTCACCCTCGGCCCGGACTCATGGGCTACAATTCCCTCTCTGCCTGGGAGCCTCAGTCCTGGATCTACAGCCTGTCTGTCTGTGGGAGTAGATTCTTCTTTCAATAGGGCAGTGTCTCCCAAAGTGGGGTCCGCGGCCCCCTGGTGGGCCGCGAGGGTACTGCAGGGGGGCCGCGGGAGGTCATAAAAAAAATAAAAAAAATAATATAATTATTTAATGTTAAATTTATAATGTTTTGTTTGTAATATTAAAATATTTGTGTTCATTATTTGACTTGAATAATCCACTGTAATCATTTTTGTATTACAATGTTTGTAGCAGAGGCTATTTCCCCAAAATAAAATAACCAGAAGAGCCTATTCTTAATGTTGTCTTCTTGGTTATTATTTTGGGGGGCCACGCAGACCCGTCAGATTTTTAAGGGGGCCTCGGTGTTACTGAGTTTAGGAATGGCTGCAATAGGGTCATGCCGCTCCCTATGGACCAATAGCTCCTACTGTATGTGTTTTTTATTATTGTTCCAACTGTTTGATTCTCTGATCTGTTGTTGGTGAATGGACAACTCTGTAAAGTCCTTCGAGACAATGACTTTTGGGATTTAGGGCGATACACAAATAGGATGAATGGTACCTGATAGTTTCTGTTCAGGGCGTTGAGTTGCTCCAAAGCTGCAGAGTTTTCTTTAGGGAGGATGACACATGGGCAGAGGATGCTGCAGGCAAAGTATAAACCATCAAACCCACAGTATTAGACCTTGTAGTTTGGTTAAGAACACGCACTTGACGAGCCACGTGGGACATTTGAGAGAGGGGTCCAGGTGCATTTCTCGGAGCGGTGCAATGTGCAGAGGTTCTACCAGGTTGACCAGAGTGCGAGGAACCTGAAACGAGCTATGGTCAGAGACAGTTCTCAGCTGAGAGCAGTGAACAGTGAGGGTCACCTCTTTGTGCAGGTAATCCAAGGTCTCCATCACGTTCGTAATGTAGGTCTTCACCGAGTACTTCAGCTGAGAGCAACAGGCGAGACAGGAATAAGGCCTCAGATAATGTCTGTATTTGGGAATATGTATCTGTATAGGTGTATGTACAGTATATGTGTATGTATACTGTATACTGTATGTATAATAATGATGTGTCCAAGACTGTTCTATACTCACAGAGTTTTTGCAAAAGTCGCACATGTCGTTTCCTCCAATGAAAACTGTGATCAGCTTCCAGTCTTCAGTTATATTTATTCTCTAAACACAGACAATATAATCACCAGAACAAGAAAGTCCTCTAAAACTGTTACAATGATTTTCACAAGCATCTGGACCAGGGTTGTCCAACCTGAGGCCCATGGGCCAAATGTGGCCCTCTGTGTCATGTGTGCCATTATGTGGCCCTCTACCGTGAACACAATTTTTGATGTTATCACAGTGTCATCCAGCCAACTTCATCTGGGCCAAACAAGCTCAGAACCTCCAGATATTCAATGCATTAATAAAGACCTGCTTTCACAAATAAAACGTTTTTTTCATTGTCTTACAAAATGTAAGACAATCAACCACTGCATTAATGTAGCAGTGGGGAGATTCACACTCCTAAAATTAAATGAACCATTTTAAAACCTGGGTGAAGTCTGGTGAACTGGCCATCTTACATTTGGACACCCCTGGTCTGGTGCTGGGAAGGTTAAATTAATACGGAAAAGTATAGTTTACAAATTTGTAATTTATGTCTGTACCGAGTCATTCTTCATTCGTTCGACCAGAGCTCGGACTTGTTTCTGTAAACTCCTGAACAAGAAAATAGAGTTATATACTGTGTATACTTAGAGACCACACATCACACATGTATCTGACTCTGTCCCATCAGATCATTGTGAATGAGCTGAAAGCCATATCAGCTGTAGAGCAGATGTGAGAGATCAGACTCACTGGCTGGTGGCTCCTGCTACAGCCTGGTTCAGAGAGGCCTGAGGACTGGTCTCTCGGCCCGTGCCCACAGAGAAGCCCTTCAGACCAGGGTTGAAGTACTTCAGGATGTCTGACAAAAAAGAGGCCAGTCAGAGACTCCATCAGCAGCTCCTCACCAAAGTGAGTGTTAAGAGACTGTTCCCATAGTTACGCCTGTCTACATGTTCTGAGTTCTTACTGGGCAACGTGGTGACGTTGGGTAGGCTGTGGTCTCCTCCGATGCTGAAACACATTGGGAAAAATGACGAATGGAGCTTTCTCTCCAAACAGCAGCAGAACAAAGTGGAGCTCACCTCCAGGACAGGCCTCTGTACTGGTTCAGGACATCCAGGAGGTTGTTTGGGTTGGACCCCACACCGTTACCTGCCTGTAAGAAACATATGTGTGCCATATGCAATGAAACAGGTTTTGAACTTTAAGATTTGGTACAAAAAAAAATAAAACTTGAGTACCAGTTCATGCATATTAAGAATATTGACACAGCTTTCGAAAAGTAAAACATTCCACAATCACCCATCTATTTACTATTGCTTTATAAGGTGCTGGGTCAGGGGGTAGCAGTCCAAGCAGAGACGTCTAAACTTCCCTCTCTACTCACCCTTCCTTCAGCTCATCTGGGGGAATGCTGAGGCTTTCCCAGGCCAGCTGAGAGACACAGTCCCTCCTGGTGTCTTCCTCTGGTCTCCTCCCAGTGAGACATTCCCAGAACACCTCCTCAGGGTGGCGTCCAGGAGGCATCTCAAAAAGATGCCTCTTGTATCCACAATTCCATCATTTCGATCATCACCCAAAGCTCATGACCATAGGTGAGGGAGGGAACGTGGAGCTCTGATTGTAGACGTTGCTCCCTCCTCACCACAACAGTCCCTCACCTGACATGAGATACTTGATCTCCTCCCCTTGAGGATGCCATTACCACAATGTTGTATTATTAAAAGCATGGAGTTTATCTGAAATCCAAGAGGAATACTCACTGTCAGAGAGTCTCCCATAGCTGCAACCACTTTGACATCTCCAGGCCTCAGCTCATGCACTGCGCACATCACACACACATCAGCATCATTCACAAACTCTCTGAACACATCTGTCCGTGTTCCCCTTCACCTGAGCGAGGCACCGAAGGGGAAGGGCTGAAGTCGGCGCACGGCATATCCGTCCCTGTAATCTGACGCAAAGCCTGTATGAACCCAACGACAACCACCAAAAGTGATGCATTTGGAGCTGTCATTGCACCGCTGTACTCACTGCTTCCACCTCCAGGGAGAAGTCATGGCTTTCCTTTAAATAGGAGTTTGTGTGCGTCCTCAGAAAGGGCCGGATCTTGAGACGAAGTCAGAGGCAGAGCAGACAGGAAGTGTGGTGAGTAAGTAACAGTAGCGGCATCTTAAGCCTGTTTAAAGTACAAGATATCCAGGCTGATACCTCGGAGGGACATGGCAGAGCGGTCTCTTCTGCTGTTGGCGAGTCCAACTTGGGCTGCAACTACAAAACAACACATGCTTTGTCTCCGTGTGTCAGCAAACAACAGAGTGAATGTTCTCTGCAGTCGTACACAGTGTCCGCGAGCTTCTCAACTCACCAGATTTATCCAGGTCTGAACCAGCAGCTTATCTGTGTGATGTGAGTCAGACAGGGACTCAGCGCTCTGATTGAGAGAGAAATACAATAGTAAAAACAGCACTGAGAGTATCTGGTCTATCTATCTACATACAACAAAAATAAAGGCCTGTATTAGCTATTGGGTTATTACAAAATATATCTATCCATTCATTTTCTTCTGCTTCATCCGTTGCTGGGTCACTGGGGGCAGAAGTCTAAGCGGAGACGCCCAGACATCTCTCTTCACAACCACTTCCTCCAGCACATTCGAGAAAACATATATTTTTTACTTTTTTTGTTACCATGATTGTATATAGTAATAATTGTAATGAATTAAAAATTTATATATAGATTTTTTATTATGTCTTATTTTACTTGCACTGAGAGCCAAAGTGACTTCCTGTTACTTACATGGCAATAAAAATGATCCTGATTCTAAAAGAAAGAAACAGCAAGTTCTCCTGCACCTGACACGTATGGAGCTGAGGAGGTGGTGAGCCCACTTTAAGGGGACCCATATAAGCCCCGTTTCCACCAGCCCTCATCTACTCAGCTCTACTCTACTCTATCCGGTTGCGTTTCTATTACACTTAAGGATCTGGTATTGAACCCTCGCAAGTTAACCTGCCCGCAACAAACCAGTATCTGTGGATTCCTTGGTACCCATTTCAGTAGCAATAGTGGGACACTGTAGAGTAGAGTAGAGTGGGGCTCGAGGACCCTACATGTTAATTGATTAAACAAGTTTTATCTACATGTGATGCAGTGAAAATTCAAACAAAGCCGCTGGACGACATTTTAGTTGATCATAAAACTATTTCTGCTTTTTTTGTTTTATTTGTTGCCATCATTGCTCTGTGTGAGTCTTAAACCACACATCACACTCACACCTGTTGGAGCACTGAGCAATATATTGATTCTTAAATAGTTGAAAAAACAGCATTAGTTGTGATTAATTGTAATTTTGACTGGGCTTGTCCTTATTGTTGTAGATTTACATGAGGCCTGAAGCATGAACCTTGCTTCCATAGGAGACACACAAACTTCCGCAGTGAAAGGATGTCCACCCTGTGTTTGCTACTCACATCTGTGGGGGTCTCTCTGAGCAGCGGTGAGTCCTGAAGCACTACACTGAAGTCCTCTCTGTCAAACCACTTGTTTCTCTCCAATAGATCGGCCAGAGACGTCTGTTTGACAAACACACAAATACTGCAAAGAGTGGAGAAGCATCAGTAACGTCACAAAATGAAATCAGATCTCAGACCTGTAGAGCGTGAGTCTGCATCGCTCGCAGGAGCCGGGCCTCGACCTGCTCCGAACAGGTACACTCCCTGACAACAAAAGAATAAATTCATGAATGATCTATTTTCTGTTTTTCGGCCAAAGAATATTTACTTACTGGTTTAGAATGTAAAAAAATCTCTATCTCTGTGTCTCCATCTTTCTCTCTCTATCTCTCTTACAATAAATGTCTCTATGTATATATCGATATAGCTCTCTTTCTATCTCTATTATCTCTATCTATATCTAGATATATATTATATTGATAGACCGACGTGAAAAATAAGACTAAGTCAGGAATCCGGGTGTCAACAACACTGCCATCTTGTGTTTTAAAAGCAAAAGCAGAAACAGCTGGAGGTAGGAAATTGTTTATTTGTGTCAGATGTTCCTGAAATTATTGTATTATTGTCCATTGACCTCAGTGGGACATGACTATTGTGTGGTGAGGAAACCGGAGCACTCGGAGCAAACTGACGCAGACACGGGAATAACATGCAAACCCTACACAGAACTCAGAAAGGTCTGGAGGTGGAATCGAACCAAGACCTTCTTCTAAGAATACTGTCTCTCACATACATATCTAATCTTCTTGCAGATTTAACAGTGGGACTTGCCTCTTATCTCCGTCCCACAATGCAACACTGACGATGGTCTTCTTTAACTGGATACAACACATTCATATTTAAGTTATTCATAAAAGTGTAAATATTTTTAATAAACATGTTTAAGGTTCAGAGTCAACACCTGGGACTGGAGCAACCGCAGAGCTTCATCCACTGTTTTGGTCATTTCATCCACCGCAGACAAGGCCTGAAGAGAATCACGAAGGTGAGAGAGTGCGAGGGAGTGTGTGTGCGGGAGTGTGTGTGCGTGTATGCAAGTGTGTTTGTCACCTGTTGGTGCTCACACGCACACAGTTGATCCAGACGCACAAAGAGCAGTACTAGTTTCCATTCCTCCTGCAGAAACAGTTGAACACAGAAAAGTGTGGTTCATTCCCGATCGACAGGTCAGTCACAGCACCAGTGTGTCCTGCTGACCCCATTGACCGATTGAGTGTGACGTGTGTGTGACATCATGGCTGACACATATGGAGGTGTGTCTCAATGTGGGCTCTGAACATCAAAATCATGCAGGTCTCCTCAGAGCTAATGACATACAACCCTAATATTCTTGCACTAAAGTGTCATTGTATTACATATTTCTGTACTAGAGTACATACTACATAGTATCGTACACTATAAACTAAACTAAACTAAAGCTTTTATTTTATCAAAATTATAACGTTCTGCAATACTTAATATTCACTTCTCTGAAGTGAAGTGGCGTTGTGTGCTACTCATTCCTACTGTTCAGTAACTTGTGAGGTAACACTGACTTTTCCACACTGTGTACGAATGAAAGATCTCTTCATTTTAATCTTAATCTTAATCCTAGTTCCTTGTCTCTCTCTGGTCTCTCTCTGGTCTCTCTCTGGTCTCTCTCTGGTCTCTCTCTGGTCTCTCTCTGGTCTCTCTCTGGTCTCTCTCTGGTCTCTCTCTGGTCTCTCTCTGGTCTCTCTCTGACCTCTCTCTGGTCTCTCTCTGACCTCTCTCTGGTCTCTCTCTGGCCTCTCTCTGGTCTCTCTCTGGTCTCTCTCTGGCCTCTCTCTGGTCTCTCTCTGGTCTTGTGAGCCTGTACCACAGAGCAGGTGGTTCTTGTACCTGTGTGTGCTGAAGCCTGAGGGCCGCCTTTGTGGCCTGCTCTGGGAGTGACCTGCAGACAGAACAGACTCCAGCAGCTGCACAAACCTGAGAACATGAGTTCAAATGCAGTTTACCTGAGAGGGGGAAGGCTGTGAGGGGAGGTCAGAGATGGGCTGAACAAATTTACCAGCTCTAAAAGACACACACGGTTTCAGTGGTTACAGTGTTTTACATTCTGCTACACTACAATACACTATAAAACATGATTTCAAACGACTGAAGACAGAAATGCTCACTATTATCACAGACTAGATGAAGCAAAACATTATATGCGTATCAGTAATTATATACTGAAAATATTTTCATTTTTGAATCTGTTTTTACCACCAAAGCCAAAGCAAATTCTTACTTTGTGGCTTCTTATTACTTACGATGACAATAAGACAAATTCTGATTCTGATCTCCCTGCATTTGGAGGTACTCAAAGGAACCCAGAGGAATCAAAACATACAAAAACATATTGTGTGTTTTACAGTGACTACAAAGAGCAGGCATAGCAGCGGAGCACATCAGCAAGTCTGATGGACGTGAAATAATATGGTGCAGGCTTGAAACGAATCTAATCTAAAACGACAAGTTATAGAACACTGTGTACCACTGATAACATGTCATTAAGAAACACATAATAAGTTCTTAGCTATTGTGTTATATCATTAAGATCTTTCATTGAATCCCACCAGGGTCTGTGATAAAAGTTACTTCATCCCATGACAATTACAATTTACAATTACAATTTATTCTTGTATAGCCCTAGGTCACAACAGAAGTCATCTCAGAGGACTTAACACAACCATTGAAATCACCAACACAGATCAGAGAATCAACAGTTAAAACACATGAAAAATATAAAGCACACACAGAAGAAAATGTCCATACATGTTGTAGAATGCTAAAGTGTCCTGATCATCACCAATCCTTTCTGTTGGACACTAACTGTCCAACAAGACCCTCCTGCATCGACAAGGAAAAACTCTTAAAAAACCCAGTGGGAAAAAGTGAGAAACCTTGGGGAGAACTAGGGAAACCCACAGGGAGGGAGACCCATTTGAGAAAGGGATCCGCTCCTCCGGACGCACAGGCTAATGATCCAGGACCTAAGCTAGCTACAGAACGTGGACCAGTGGCCGCTGAACGTGGACAGGACATGAGTAGTGTTTGAATCCCCTTGACGTCATTCCCACATGGACAATATAAATACAATGGTTCTAGGTTGCTCTAGAGTCTAGACTCATTTCATAGCATGCAGATCTGAGGTCTGAACTACATTACAATTACAATACAATACCATTTTTTTCTTGTATAGCCCTAAATCACAACAGAAGTCATCTCAGAGGACTCAAAACCATTGCAATCACCAACACAGATCAGAGAATCAACAGTTAAGACACAAAAAATATAGAAAACATGTGTATCGGACATAGACTGTAAAAATTAAACTGACGTAGTCACGCCTATCTCCGCCGTTCAAACAAATGGGGCAAAATTTTTGCTCTACTGGAGCTATCCAAAATGTCAGCTGGCGCAGCTCCATTCATTTGAACGAGAGACTTCAAAAATTCACAGCAAGTAAACCAGAGTGGTCCAAAAAAATTCACCCCCCTCAGCATTGACACACATGTGGAACGGAGCTTTGAGCCAAGAGCCAACTTTTGGTCCATCCTGTGAAGACGTTTTCGAGAGGTAAGAAGATGCTATATGTTAGCATTGGCTAATTCTTATTCCGGGTCCACTCCCATCGGCCCGGGGTGGTATTGCAAGCATGTCAGCGCACGTCATTTTGGCCACTTTTGAGCCGGGACCCGCCCCCACTGCTATCGGTCCATATGGACAGACCAATGTCCATGAATGTTGATAAATGTCCATACATGTTGTAGAATGTTAAAGTGTCCTGGATCATCAACACATTCCTTCTTGTTGGACACTAACTGTCCAACAGTCCCTCCCTCATCAGCAAGGGAAAACAAAAAAAAAACCAGTGGGAGAAAAGTGAGAAATCTCGGGGAAATCCACATTGAGAGAGGGATCCGCTCCACACGGACAAACAAGCTATACTTTATCATTCGTGTCTCAATAAAATTCATTCTACAAGAAACCTGTGGTCCCCCATCCTTTTCCAATCTACACACCAAACTTGTGACAGCATTGGAGATGATGAAAATACTTTTAAAAGTGAATTTTGCAATCGTTCAATTTTGAAGTTGTCTACAAAATATCACACAATGCACTTTACTTTAATCTCCCCCATTGAGGGTGTTCAGAAGAGCAGAGCAGAGTAAAGTAGAGTACAGTAGAGTAGAGAAGAGCTGGTGGAATAGTCAGTATAAAAACAGTGGAGTCTTAATGAAACCACTTTCTCTTATCTTCTGTTCCTCTCAGTCCATAAAAGTCACTCATTAATATTCGTATCAAAGCACTGAGTAAACGTTTTGAAAGGGTAAAGCTGGTCATCATAAAGGAGAATCATTTACCCTGGAGCTTGGACAAGACGCCGCTGAGCTGTGGACTGAGAGAACACCAGACTGATGTTAATCGCTGCTCATTTGCTGCTGGTCGAATGATTCAGAATAATGTGTTTGTGAATGCAGCCGACCTGTGAGCATCCGGGCCGATGGCGGCGAGCGTGGCGAGATCTGAGGGCCGCACGCCGTCCACTGCAACACAAACAATCTGATACATGATGGATTCTTCTTTAATCATGCACCCATTTCTAAACCTGTAAACAGTATTTTGTGTGTGTGTGTGTGTGTGTGTGTGTGCGTGTACGTGAGTGTGTGTGTGAGTGTTCTCGTTTGTGAATATTTTGTCCATATGGCTGTTATTGGTGGGGGGAATGTCTTAATGTTAGATCACTGTTGTAAATATGTGTTTTAGGGCTAGGCCTATTTTATTCATTCTGTATAAAGTATTGCACTGTAGGGAAAAGCTCACAGGGACAGGAGTTGAAAATTAGCATTAGCTATACACTCCGTATGTCGCATCAGCTGCATTTTCATAATGTAACTATGTATGACTACATTGTCCCTGTCAAATAAATGAATAAATAAATAAAATAACCATATATATTGTTTATACTGCTTGTAATTGGGATAAGGTAGACATCTGTTCAGTATTTTAACATAAATGTGTGATTGTGAGGCATTTAAAGCCAAAAAATGCAACGGGTCCATCAGACCCACAAACACTGGCTGAGTAACAACAATATGAACATTACACAAGGGTTAACGCCAGATAGCTTTTAGATTTAGAAGCGTAATTACTCAGCAAATGTACCTTTTTGGTCTTCTTAACTTTGTGACTTTTTTAGTTTCTACATGTAGATTATTATTGTTATACATTATTACAAAACAAAAACAAAAGTAAAAAAAACAAAAAAGAGAAAAAGCCCTTTGAAGTGCTTGTCCTGGACTGGTATTGGTCCTGGACTGTTTCTGGTTTTTGGAGGGAATTTTTCAGAATTCTATTGGTTTTAAAGAAAGCAGTCAAAAGGACGGCTCTGTGAGTTCTGTTGTAAATTCCCTGAGATAGAGACGGTGATGTGTCTCAGGTGTTCGTACCTGAGGTGGGGGGTGAGTGTGAGGTGAACATCTGGTCACAAGGGAAAGCAATAACTGAAAAAGAAAAGAAATAAAGTTAAGACAAAAGGAGGTTTTAGGAAAAATGTGCTTTCTCTCCTCTACAGAGGAGAGAAAGTAAACTACAGCTCCATTTCCACCAGTCTTACTCCACTCAGCCTGGAGTAGGCTAGAGAAGAGTGGAGTAGGGCTGGTTTTCACAGTTGAAAACCTTCACACACCTGAAAAACAGCAATATATCGCGGAGTGGAGTAATTACAGAAAATATGTTTTCTTTCTGGCAGCACTGAAGGTAAGAATGCATTTATCCAGCTGTTTCGGCACCAGTTAGGGCTGGGCAATAAATCGAATTTTGGCAATTAATTGGCTTTTGAAAAAATCGAATTTGTGAAAAGTGTTAAAATTGTGAAATCGAATGAAGGATATTGTGAGAGTTCCAGCAGCACATGAATCATATTTGCAATATCAGCACAGTCTGTACAAGACTTTTATAACACGTATTGGGGGAAACAAATTAGAAATAGTTTTGAAACTTGAATATTGAGCGGAAAGATCAAAACATATTTTCAAGGGCAAAGTCTGTCTTCTGTGACTTTAATAAAAATGTATTAAAAATCGAAATCGTCCAAAGCAGGAAATAAAATTGAGATTTTACTTTTTTGCCATATCGCCCAGCCCTAGCACCAGTACAGATGATAATACTGTCGGCTATAATATCAAATAACAGTGCACTTTGCTTTAAAAAAATAAATAAAAATTATATCCCTCATGCTTTATTCTGATCAAAATGTGCAAACCCCCTAAAAAGCATTTTGAAAATTTAAATAAGTATACATTTAAAATATGTAATTCTATGAGCAAAGAATTACATATTTCAAACTTATATTTAAAATCACTGAGATGAGTTCATGAAATTTTAATTATCTGAGTATGATGTAATTCTTTTTTGTCTTTTTATTGATAATTAAAACGTCAAATTCCAATTCTAGCAGAAAATTCTTGTCCCTCTCTTGCTCTCTGGTCAACCCCAATATCAGATGAACCACTATATACACCCCATCATGAAACAGATCAGAGATTTGTACATAACCAAAAAGCCAAAGATAAGTGAAACGTTTCTCAACCTGAGGTCCACATGAGGCCCAGCAGCGAGAGCAGGGCCAGCTTCAGAGCCGTAATCCCAGACATTGTTAGTCCTTTGTTTGCAGCTTCTAATGATGTTCCACAGAGAAGAACTGAACATGCCATAAAGGTGAACAGGAGGAGGAGGGGCTCATTGTCCAAAGGCTGTGACAGATAGAGAAGTCTATAGCCCTGTCCCCACCAGCTCTACTCTACCCTACTCTACTCTACCCTACTCTACTCTACTCTACTCTACCTTACTAACACACTCTACCCTACCCTACCCTACCCTATCCTACTCTTCTCTACTCTACACGACTCTATCCTACTTTACTCTATTCTACTTTGTTGTGTTTCCATTATGCTTAAGCAGAATTTGGTAGGTTTGTCTGTCTAGTTTTTCTGCTTTGAGAGCGAGAAGCCAGTTACATTACATTATTCATGTTTTGCAGTTTCAAAGTTAGGGACTCCAGCTTTATTTTAATAGTTCTAAGGTAAATGGGAAATATTAGTTTAACATCTGCGTGAATGTTTGGCTGATAACGGGGCTATAAAGATATGATAAAGAGGTAAACTTTACATTTTACACTCACTCAATTACCACGGACATACAAACACACTTTCACACACATACCACGGACAAACGAGCACACACACACACACACACACTTAAAAATATATGAAATTCACAAACCAATACAATAACAGTGTATATCAGAGGAGTTATCAAATGATCATTTCTGGATCAGATTGTCCTGAGACAGCCCTGTGTGATGTAACTGATACAAGGTTACATTGGTGTCTTATCTATTAAGGACATAACTTTAGATGAACCAATATTCACCTGTGTAATCTCTGCAGCGGATTAGCAGCACTGGACAGCTCACCTCTACTGCTGCAAACAGTCATGTTTTGGTAATAGTGTTGTTTGTATGATGCAACTGTGGGACAAATGAACGTTCTCTACCTTAAATCAGAACCAGTCTATCTACAGTACAGACCAAAAGTTTGGACACACTTTCTAATTCAATGAGTTTCCTTTCTTTTCATGACTATTGCCCTTACACACCCAGCTGTGTAAGGGCTACAGTGTCTTGCGAAAGTATTCGGCACCCTTGAACCTTTCAACATTTCGCCCCATTTCAGGCTTCAAACATAAAGATATAAACATTAAATGTTTTGTCGAGAATCAACAACAAGTGGGACACAATCGTGAAGTGGAACAAAATTTATTGGATAATTTAAACTTTTTTAACAAATAAAAAACTGAAAAGTGGGGCGTACAATATTATTCGGCCCCCTTGCGCTAATACTTTGTAACGCCACCTTTTGCTGCAATTACAGCTGCAAGTCGCTTGGGGTATGTCTCTATCAGTTTTGCACATCGAGAGACTGGAATTCTAGCCCATTCTTCCTTGCAAAACAGCTCGAGCTCAGTGAGGTTGGATGGAGAGCGTTTGTGAACAGCAGTCTTCAGCTCTTTCCACAGATTCTCAATTGGATTCAGGTCTGGACTTTGACTTGGCCATTCTAACACCTGGATACGTCTATTTGTGAACCATTCCATTGTAGATTTGGCTTTATGTTTTGGATCATTGTCCTGTTGGAAGATAAATCTCCGTCCCAGTCTCAGTTCTTTTGCAGACTCCAACAGGTTTTCTTCCAGAATGCTGCCCTCCAGTCACCGGACCTGAACCCAATCCAGATGGTTTTGGACCTGAACCCAATCCAGATGGTTTTGGGGCTGGACCACAGAGTGAAGGCGAAAGGGACAAGAAGTGCATCTGTGGGAACTCAGACCATTTCAGGTCCTCTTGAAGCTCATTAAGAGAATGCTAAGAGTGTGCGAAGCAGTAATCAGAGCAAAAGGTGCTACTTTGAAGAAACTAGAATATAAGACATATTTTCAGTTGTTTCATACTTTTGTTTCAGTGTTTACATAATTCCACATGAGTGAATTCAAAGTTTTGATGCCTTCAGTGTGAATCTACAATTTTCATAATCATGAAAATAAAAAACTCTTTGAATGAGAAGGTGTGTCCAAACTTTTGGTCTGTACTGTACATTTAAATAAACCCCGTATTCTATGTATGTAACAGTGTCTGTGGAAATGAATTCCCTTCAGAGGACAATAAAGATCTAGCTATCATTTACGATTTTAAAGCATCTGATCCGAAAACCTATTTGTCCTCGATTAACGTGTGAAGTTAATTAAAACACATCACATTGATAAAGATATATTAGTTCATTAGCAGACCTTGTACAGGTATGTATGTGTGTATATTATATTCTTTATTTCTTATTTAAAAAAAACAGTTTCGGGCAATATGTAGGAATGATCAAAAATAAATCTTGATGTAGCCAGCAGCAGGTAGTACAGAAATGTTGTAATTCTCTCAGCACTAAAGCCTTCCTTGGAATTCAGGGCAATGGTGAAACAAATGAGTATGTTAACTTCAGGAACTGGCTGCCGTAAGAAATCAAATGCCAATTACCTTTTAGTTCAACGCTGTGTTATAATTATACACTATACAGCGACCTGGCTTAATTTTTGTAACATATTTTTCAGTTATTTATTTCTGCAAAGGATTATACTAGTCCTCTATCTCCTTCAGGGCTCCACCACTGTTAACATTTTTAGGATATTGTATATTGATCAATATTTACCTGCCATATCTGCCGTATAAACAATGCTTCCTTTACCATGATGACATGTCTTTACTTTCAACAAAAAATAGATTAAAAATGGTAAACACGTGCCAGTCATGGATATATTGAGTACCAGTCTGTTTCATGAACCATCTTTCGCCCTCTAGTGGGCATTATGGAAAACTACATAAACAAGCCAAGCATTACCGGAAACACAGTTCAGGCGTAACCTTCACAATAAAACCACAACCTATTTTTGCGCATAAAAACTGCAGGTCTTAGCTTTAGATTCCCTCATATAAATACAGTCCAATATTTTATTCGATATTTGATTGAGTTTGTCACTGTAAAAAAAAGATTATGACCAATTTATTTAGCACGCTGTTTTGATAATGATATTTATTTTGGTAGACCATCACAGGTGTTTGTGCCCTAAACTTCACACTATTGACTTTCCCTCCGGTGGGCTAGAGCTAAACAACATCAGGGGCACGCGTTATTATCAGACAAACAAAACACACTCAATTTTCCAAATACTTTAGACTTTTAAGTCGTTGTTTGTCTTATATTGGTTTCAGAGTTAGACAGAGCTGCATCGAGGTGAGACATCTTGACTTTCTTAATGTTGTTGGCCTGTGTGAATGCTAGTTACAGCTACAGCTCATCAAACACTACCTTTATTTACTGACGTGGCCTTTTTGTTGTTTCACACTGATCCTAAATATTGTCTAGTTGAGTGTACTGTACTGTATAGACCTGTCACGATATATAAATGTGTGTGTGTGTTTGTATATCTAACTACCTGTAGTCTATGTGTTTATCTGTAGTAATTGTGTGTGTGTGTGTGTGTGTGTGTGTGTGTGTGTGTGTGTGTGTGTGTGTGTGTGTGTGTGTGTGTGTGTGTGTGTGTGTGTGTGTGTGTGTGTGTGTGTGTGTGTGTGTGTGTGTGTGTGTGTGTGTGTGTGTGTGTGTGTGTGTGTGTGCACTTGTTTTCAACTCCTGGTGGGTTCCATAACCTGAGATTCCACTCACGTCATGGGGACTGGTTTTACGTGGTGGGGCCCGAACACCGGACCCCACTGGTCCAAGCTTAATAATCAATGGGTAATGCTTTTCTAACGGTCCTTATGCAGTCTCTGTAAAAATATGGAAAGGACCCCTGGAGGTTTACTTTCCTGAAAAAAGTGTGTTATGTGTCGGAACCCTGGTGGTGGGTTGCGGGATATCAAGGAGGGGCACACTGGGGCAATTTCAGTCCAGCAGGCTGGAGCCAATCATGGAGCAGCACAACAGAGGAAATCAGGTGTCAGGCTAGAAAAAGGTGCAAGTGTGTGGTTCATTAGGCTGCAAGAAATCATGGAGGAGCACACTGAAGCGCACGCTTACAAACCACTGGTAAGTGCTGACTACAAGTCATGACTTCAAATTGTTATATAGAATGATTACAAATTATTTGTTGTTTGTGCAGCTTAGTCAAGAGTCCCTAATTGATGAAGTCGACTCAGATTCTGACGATTTAACTGTCAAGAAGAAACCTGTAAAAAAGTATGGAAAAAGAAAAATCAAAAACACTTTTCTTCAAGACTCGGAAAGTGACGAACCAAAGGCAAATAAGATTGTTATCATGCAGCTGCAAAAGAAGAAAAATGGGGGGCGAGTTTACAGCAAGAGACACTTCTGCCTCTACTGTTCAATGTCCTGCCACAAAATGTCCCGTCATTTGACTAGAAAACATGGAAATGAAAGTGACGTAGCCAGAGCATTGGCTCTACCTGTGAAATCTAAAGCACGTAAACTTCAGTTTGATTTGATCAGGAATAGTGGAAACCGTGAGCACAATTTTGAGGTTTTAAAGGCCGGCATTGGAACTTTAGTCCCAGCTAAACAGCCAAATTCCCCAGTTAAATCCAGTGAGTTTTTGCACTGTATAGACTGTGGGGCATTGCTTAAGCGAAAGTCGCTGTGGAGGCATGTGGCCAGGTGCCGGCTTTCACAGAAAGATGCCCAGGCTAAACCAGGTAGAAGTAGGGTCCAGTCCCTCTGCTCCCTAGCCCAGCCTGTACCGGAGGGCATCAGCAAAAAGCTGTGGTCTTTAATTTCGGCAATGCATCAGGATGAGGTCACGGGTGTTGTCAAAGCAGAAAAGGGGATTCTGAGACTCGGAGAGCACCTGTACTTAAAACACGGGCATGATAAGACTAAGCATGATTACATTAGGCAGAAAATGAGAGAAGTCGGTAGGTTAATTAACGAAGCAAAAACCGCAGGGAAACTGAAAACAATTAAGGATTTCTTTATTCCTTCCAACTTTAACCATGTGATTGATGCAGTCAGGTCTGTGGCTGGATATGATGAGGAAACAAATCAATACAAGACTCCATCCTTGGCCCTCAAACTCGGCCATAGCCTCAGAAAGC